GAATCTAAACTGGCTCGCGTCAAAGGTTTCCCGGTGAGTAGAGCGGGAGAGTGCTTCGCGCCCCCATTTTGCCGTTCGGCAAAAATCCAAGTCTAACCGAAGTTCAAGGATATTGTGCCCAAAGCCTTTGTACATGGAGCCGTGGAGCAACCGACCCAAGAGTCGATTTTCGAGCGACTTTACAGTCGACCGGTATCCAAAATGGTCCAAGACTTTCCGAAGCATCTTGGATTTTGGATCCGGGTCGGCTTTAACGTCACTTTTAAAGTGGCCCCTCTGGAACAGGGGTTTTTTAGTGTCTACATTTCCCCTTTCCCGCCAGTCCACACCAACATAAGCTTTAGGTCCTGGGTACCATGTATGCATGCATGTATGCATGTAATGCATACATGCATCTATGCATGTGTGCATGTATGCATGCATGCATGCATGCAGGTATGTATGTAATGCAGGCTGCAGCTTTTTTTCGTTATAGCTCTCTAAAACTAGGCGCATGTTATCTTCAGAAGCTTGCCAGCTGGCGAAAGCTAGGCTGCAACATGCCAATCCAGGGTCAGAGGTTTGTGATTTTTGCCTCGTGTGTTGGAAGTGGGCACACTGAAGCTTTTGGTCGTTGAACTGTGTGGGCCAGCATCAGCTGCATCGATGTTTGATGGATGTTTGGTGTACGGACACGGATGGCAGCAGACCTTAAACAATAAGGCTTTGCTTGCCGTGAACTCCACAGCCAGTTTATGGCTTCGGGTGTTGTAGGGTGCATGCTGGGATGAGATTTTCCTTTGTCCCAAGACCAAAGCCAGTCCTTCAGTCCGCGTTGGATTTGCAAGCTTGTGGAGCTGCAAGCGTGCGGCTTCATCTGAAGATTGGTTTGTTTTTGACCCTATGCTCAAGCATACCTTTGCATGAATTGCAACCCTCAACTGTTCCTGCGAGGTCGTGAGCACATGGGATGTGCTCGGCGAGGTTATGGATAGCCAGGGGCGTTTCTATTGCGGATTAGTTTATCGCCACGTGCAACAAACTTGTCACCCTTGACGCATGATATGATGCCTTCACCAGCAGACACGCCGCGCAGTCTGTGAAAACAAATTAAATGCACATACTATTCCATGGTGGTTTCGGCTCAAGAAACACGCGGTGTGCTCCTTCTCCTTTGTTCGCTCAGGTCTGGATTTGCATTTTGCGGTGTCAGGTTTCAACTCTCCAATTGGACATTTGGGGTGATTTCAGGGTGAAGCTGGTAAGGTTGGAGTGGGTGGTCGTTTGTATCTGGTGTGTTACAATGAAAAGGGAACGCTCTGAGTCGAGGGATTCTTGTCGGCGGCACAGTGGCCCCTTCCGGGTAGCCAGACTAGGATATCTGGATTAGTCCGAGCTTTGAAAAAACGGAAGGAGCCGGCACAATAGCGATGCCAACCCTACTTGATGTCATGCGACTAGGACGAGGACAAGAAGTTTGGGCAGCCGTGCGATCAGCGCACTCAATTGCTGTGTGGCACTCCTTTCTTGCGTTTCTCCTGTCAATCCTGCAGCTCACCGGCCTGTGAACTTCTGCTCGCACTATGTTCCCTATGCCCTATGGCTCAGTGGCTTCGGGGCCAGTCAGAACCTCCCAAAAAGCGAAACCTCGCCAGGCCAACAACAGTCATAGTCATGGTGGCGAAGCGTCCAGCAGTGGCTGCTGCCGGTGCACCAGCCAAGAAGGCCAAGGTCCGCAATTGCAGCTACAACCAGATCATGTTTTGCATTGCGCTGCTTTATCCATGTCGTTCACAGCCGTACCCACTTGCCACACACTGAAGCTCCTGGAACCTGGAACCTGACACCTCTAGGCCCAATTGCCAGGCCATTCTGGCATAAGCAGCACATTGCGGCATGTGTGGGCGCATGTCAACTCACGCCCATGCAGATGCGTTTCGCATGCCAGCGCATGTTGGCGGTGTACCCAGTGCATCTTGGCCCAGTGCAGTCGACACAAGAGTCACAGAAGTGTCACGAACAAGCTCAAGCCACAGAGCTTGCATCCATCGCCTGCGTAAGCGTTTTCTTACAATGACATTGGCAGGTCCCCACTGCCAAAAGCTGCAAGGACTCGACGACGTTGTGCTTGCCTGGTTTTGGTGCTTAGTCTTGCTGCCTAGCTTTGCTCGAGGGACTTGGGTTGAAGCTGTGCTTTGAAGGCTGGTGCCCGGTTGGTTTCTCGGTTCTCTGTCAAATTAGGTTCGGGCATTTATGCCTGGCATGTTTGCATCGTGCCGTGCAGCTTGCATCCTCAACAAGCAAGGGTACCTGCTGTTTTTCGAGGCAGCCTCTGGATTCATGTCCTCAAGAGGAAAATGCAGGCTCCTGGCCTACGTACATTTGCAGCTTGTCCGCCCAACGAGTCGTTGAATCTAACTACGTGTGAAATGGCGTGGATACATGCCCCACTTGCCAACCTGGATACATGCCCCAGCTCACCATGCTTAACTAATATTGAGGGACCTAGGAACAGACAGCCATGGCAGAGCTGGCAGATGGAGAGGAGGCCGGAAATGGTCCGAAGCCATGCTATCCCAGCAACGTGTGACAGTGATCTGCTAGGCATGAAAGAGTTCGGTGGCATACGCCTGCCCGTGTGAGTCTTAACAATACTGTGGCAGGTGGTTCCTCCAGATGTCTTGGCCAGGATCAGCGAGGACAGGAATGCGAGAAAAGCTATGTGCAACAATCTCCTTTTTGTGTGCCACTTGTGGCAGCAGGAGAACGAGCGCCTGAAGCAGGAAGTCTTGATATTGAAGGCCCGCTCGTTCTTTGAGGGCCTGAGCTCGGGGCCAATGTCAGTTCAGCATTGAAGCAATGCCAGGAAAGGCATGAGAAGGAGAAGCAGCGCCTGGAAATGCAGGCTGAATGTTTCTAGACTTGCATGCTTTGGTGCAGTGTGGTGCAGACACTTGTGCGAGACTTAGCTCCACTCAGTTCCATTTGCAGTGAAGCATGGTAAACAGCAAATTCTCACGCGAGACCTTCCCTAATCCTGTTCCTTAGGCTCCCGGAAGTTTGCTAAACCAGGTTCAACTTGTATCCCTGTAATCCCAGGTCATTGTTTTACTCAAATGCGGTGGAACTGCGCCACTTCAGGAGAGGCTGCAAAATGCCTGATGCCAGGTGCGCGGCGAACGGTCCATTGCAGAGCGGGAGGCGCGCCTGAGCGCTCCTTGAGGTCTTGGCCGATCATCATACTGTATCCGATTGTAGCCGATTGCAGCCGCAAGCAGTAGCAATCTTGTGCCACAGTCTTCTGGGCATGGGCAGGCTGAGGCGAACCGCGACAAGACCACGGAGTCATGGACTTAAACTTCACGGACTCAGCAAATCTGCTCAAGCCACAAGTACGGGACGCGTCTGTTTTCCTCAACATGACCCAACACTTGCGGAATCAGCTTTCTTACTTGGTGCCGCAATTGCTGAGTTTAGAGAAGATGAAGATGCAGATGGTCATGCTTACGCCAGGGTCTCGGGTGTATTGCGAGCCATATGAGGCGCTGGCTTCTACTTGTTCTTGGATTTGGGCCACCTATTGAGCTGCTGCAATCCTGCCTGACATTAATCCATGCTCTCCCTTGAGGTTTTGTGATTGTTTTGTGATTCTGAAGCTCAGTTCACTAGGCGACTTCTATTTACACAATTTGCATTTCTGAAATGTATGTTCTGTTTTTTCGAGTCCGTTAGCGTGTCCGATCCATCAGTACCACACTCAGTCCAAAGTTCCGCCCACTTTGTGAGGAGAAAGCTCGATGACGAGGTTTCTGCAAAAGATCAGGCAGCGTTCTAACGATAGTGTGTCCAACGGCAAGGTTTTGCTGGTTATTGGAGCAAGATTAGGCACGGGTCTTTGTACAGCGGTTTAGAGAGGAAGCCAGTTCGGGCTGAACATGTTGAGCATGTCGTTCGAGCATGTACTTTTGAAAAAGATGGAATAGAATTCAGTAGATTTAGTAGCATTAGTAGCTGGTGGAACTTGAGGAGTCTGGACATTTGTGAAGCTCTCAGGTGGTGGGTGAAACGCACCGGCTGGAGCGGAAGCTGCAGGATGCTAGAGACATGCGAGGGGTTGGGGGCGCTGCTGAGGGCGCGAATGTCGCTTATTGTAGCATGTCAGGTCGCGACCCGACTTGCAAAGATGCTTGCAAGTGCAGAAACGCACTCGTCTGAGGAGCTTTCCATGGGCAGCCAACCTCTTAGCCGTCGCAGTCTTCCAAACCGTGGTCATGTGAGTTTGTCAGCGAGTCCATCGCTCTCATGCCTTGCGTGGGGTTGACTCTGGAATCTGCCGCAACCGTTTTGCAGCTTGCGGCCGTCGTGGTTGATTTCCCTGTCACGAGGCGCTGCAGGCGGAACAGCTGCCAGAAGCCCAGAACAGCATGGCACAGCATGGCACAGCATGGTGCAGCCATGTGAAGCGATGAGAGCACATTCTGCAGTTTGCAGCTTGTGCAGACACGACATCTCAAAAGCAGTGACGGACTTAAAAGTTTCCGCGCCCTTAACATCGTTAACCGTTTGCAAGGCTAGTGGCTCTGCCGGTGGCTCTGGAGAGGAGCGCTGCCTTGAGGGGATTTGCCTTGGCCCAGTCTTGAATCCATTCTGGGCGATGCATGAAGAGGTTTGCAAAGGGCTTGTGAAAGGGCTCGTGGCCTTGGCATAGATGCTGGTTGATGCTCCATGTCTTGCCAGGAAGAGAGATCGTATCGCTGGCTAGATTTGTACCGAGTTCGTGGCCTGCTGTGTCGTGGGCTTCGCCTTCTTCTTCCTTGACTCGTCCATGGACTCATGCATCATCCCGACTGCTGTCTTGCAGTCACCAATGTGTGGCAGGCGAGAGAAGACCAGCCAGGCAGATTCCGCCCGATATTGGTAGTATATTTTTTGCAATAACATGCAGCCGTGACATATGACTTCAGCTAAGCAGGGCCGGATGGTTGAAAAGATCTGTCGCGTGAGGAAATGCTACTGCGAGAGTAGGGCGCCGATCTTATGCGCGCTTGCCTGACTGGCCCTGGAGGTGTCGACGAAGCTGATGAGAGTGACATCCCCGATTTTATTGCTCCGGCAAGCTTGGCAAAACGCATGCATTGCGTGTGTGCTGTGATGACGTAGACGAGCAGACGTCCAGGTTGTGGATCAGTGGATGCGGTGCAAAGACATCCAGCAGGCCCGACAGACACGAGCTCGTGGCGAAGACGTCATTGGGCCTGAGTTGCCTATCCCCTTTTCCAGAGCCCCAGGCGCTCCTTCGTGATGCAGCCATCAATGATTTGGCCTTTGCGACGCTGGTGCGCAGAAGCAGTAATCCCGTCGTCATCCCTGCTGTTTGCATGGAGTCATATGGAGTTGTGAGGACACACAGCATGTGTAGCACGTCGAAAACTGGTTCACTCTAATTGTCGAGTGTTGCTGGTTGTAGATTCGGCTTGGATCTCTCCAGGCACAGGCCCTGGTTGACTGCCCGTCTTTGCAAACTTTGGATTTGTCGCGGAACCTTCTGACGATGGACCGAATGCACGCTTGTGCAGGGCTGCCAGATACATGATGCCTCATTGCATTTCCCATTCTTGCTGCGTGCGCTTGTTTGAAGGATTCTTGCTCTGACCTTTGCCAGCTGATCACGACAGCGCGGGTCTCTCAGCCAACCCACAGCCTTCTCCAGGGCCGTGTTGCATCTTTCGATTCCTTCAAATGCTGCAATGTTTGGTGTGAGTTCTGTTAAACCTGTTATGTACAGGCCCTGCCTGTCATTCATCTCGCTGGCGGAGAACCTCCTGAGTCTGCGTTGCGCCTGCGCCTCGAGTCTCAAGAGTGTCGCATCAGAAGCTCCATGTCGTGCTGTGCGGAACTGCGACAGGCGCCGATAGCCCTTCACTTGGGAGGGCTTGTTTTGATCCTCTAGTCTTCCCAAAAGGTTCGTCGGCCAAACGAGATCCTTTTGCACCTATATTTTCCTGGGCTTGGGGGTAGTGTCGTTCAAATCCAGAAGAAATCAACTTATTATTAGTAATGCGTCGATGAGTGGATTGGTTTTTCGAAGTACAAGCCCAAGAGAACCGACCCCCAGCAAGTGACGAGCAATCAATCAACGTCATTCCCATTGACGCGCAAGTTGTTGAGGTGGGCTACTTCATGACTGCCATCATGGAGAGGCAAACCACGAAAAGGTGAGGATGCTTGGGGCGTGTCTAAGTCGGATGGAGTAGAAGGTCGCCTATGGGTCACCACGCTGATCTTTGTCAGTTTCATTTTCGTGCTTGTTGCGGTCTGGGCGCCGTCGAAGGAATCTCTTTGTGTGTCGTGGCTGTGGCTCATGCTCGCAGGCTCGTCCCTCTAGACCTCCTTGATCTTCAAGGTGGGGCTGCAAACATATGTTGAAGATTGAGCATTTAGGACGCCGTGCGCATGTAAGTGCTACTGGTGCGTGACGCAAAACGCGAACCTCTAAACCCTGCTCCCTAAACATATTTGGATAGCCCTGGATAATCTGTGGAACTTCAGGAGATCTAACACGAATCAAGAGCAAGGGCAACCTCACAAATAGATTGTGTGACACCGTTGTGTTTTCTTGGTTTTGACTTGTAAATATTTCGTCTGCATGCCTGGCTCTTCGAGGCAATGAAGGGCTGCAGATGGCCTTGGCACATGCGCCGCCTCAGGACAGAATTGGACGAGCATTCAAGTTGGGTTCACCGGCTTCACTCAAACTTCTGATCTCTTCTGAATGCACATTGTCGATCCATACTTCTGCAGCAACGTCGATCCATACTTCTGCAGCCGACAGCTAATGAACGCACTCAGTCACGCAAACACCACCGACCAGCCCCCAAGCAGCCTCTTCACATGTCTGGAGGAGCTGGTTTCGAAACTCAGAGACGCGGCACAGACGCAGCCGACCCAGCGGCGGGGCAGCCAGCTCCGTGCAAATGCGCTTTGCCATGCTGAGGCCTGCTGGCAAGGGCTTGACATCTCCTCCTGCCATCGACCTCGTGCGACCCTCAGCAAGGTGCAGATTCGTGACACTAAAGCACAGAGGCTCTTGCTTCCACGAGGTGCTTAGAGCATCTAAGAGCACAGCGTCGAAAATGTGAGACGAGCATGTAGTCTGATTGCACGCAAGGAATCTTTGAGCCCCGAGGCCAGTCACGTGATGAGGTCCCTGTGGAGATTTCTGCACGACACGCAGCATCCGCAAGTGTCTGCGCCCTTGGCATCTTTTTGATGGCGAGCTCATTGGAATGCCATACCTGAAAGCTTGGTCGTGTCTGAGGAAGAATACCACAGTGGACGAGTACTCCTTTGACAGTATGGACAAGGCCCGTTATGACAACAGCATTGTGGCTGTTGTGTTGCCGAGGTTACCGAGAGCTCTCCAGCTCTGAAAGTTTTTTTTGAAGTGGGTTGGGTTGCGTTCGCTCTTGGCTTTGAGCTTGGGTGGGAGGTTACCTTGAACAAGATGGACAACGCTCTGATGAAGATCCTCCTTCTGGCCGTAGCTTGGACGAATCACTTGCGAGCGAAGACATAGAGCTAGAAGCTTGACGCCATTGAGAATATTGAGAAATTTGTGATGCTTTGCTTGCAGCCAGGCGCGGGCCTCGTGATACCAACTGAAGTGACAAGGTACTCAAGCGTCACTAAGCCTCCACTCCCTAGACAGAAACCCTCATTGAGCCAGCTGTCCAAAACAACCACCAGGTAGGTTTCCTTTTCGGAAGAACCCTTTCCAGGGACGACTATCGCATGATTCTTTAGAAGGACCCCAAATTTATCTCAGGCTGACGAGACCTTCGGCAAGGCCACGCCTGTTCTACCGCACTGGGGTCTCCTTTTCTTCCAAAGCTTTTTTCAAGAGCCAACAAAAGAAGGGTGTGACTCGTTTGTGCCTTTGGATGCAGTTAGAGAGAATAGCGTGTCGGGCAAGCCGGCATGTTTTCCACGTGTCTGAAAGGACTCGCAGGTTGAGGTATGAATTTTCACAGGCACATCCGCATCTGTGTTGCAGGAGGCGAAAGCAGTGACGGCCAACGTGGTCCTTCTACCGGCGATGCTGGTCCAGGTGTGGCATTGGATCCCCACTGACAGGGTCATCGATCAATCCATCCAGCGTGTTCCAGGCCCAGTTGGTGCGTCCGGACACAACTGGCTTGAAACCCAGTGAGCAGTCGCAGAATTGTAGAGACCTGCAGATTCGTGCAGATCTGTGGAGTGTTCAGTGAATTCTTCCTACGCAGGTTCCCAAACGGCAGGAACCCGGCGGCACAGCTCGCAGGCCTTTGCGGCCTTCCCAAATGTTGTCCTTCAACAACGCCTGCAGACTGCCTGTGAGGAGAGCTCCCCAGCAGCTGCTCCGGCTCGGAGCCCAAAGCAATCGAGAGCATGATGGATCACAGAACGAGTGGAAGGTGGATCACCCCGGCCTGTGGGTGGCGTGGGGTAGTGTTGGGGGGATGGAGGGGGCTGCCTGCTTAGGCGCTCAAGGAGGTGCCCTGGATCCGCTAACAGACTTGTGGACAAATTTTGTTTCTCCCCTACACGTAAACTGTGACAAAAGTTAGGTTGCTTTTTTCCTTGCTGCACTTCGCGAAGACACTCATCTTGGAAGGAAAGCAGACTCCAGTAGTCTTCAGTATGCCTCAGTATGCATGCTGGGCTGGTTGTTTCCTTTCTTAATGCCTTGTGAGAACTTTGACACACATGGCAATGCAGTCAAGATCTACTCTGAAAACACAGATTGGAAGAGCCAGCCTTTCAGCAAGGAATTTTGGCATCGTGGAAATCGATGTTTTGGGTGTGTCGTGGTTGAGACACAATGAGCTTGGAGTGGGATTGCGACAAGCACGTTGTTGCGGCATCGTGGTGACGGGACGGCGCGGGGACAAGACAGCATTTTAAATCCAAAGAAAACCACAGAAGAGAAGGCATCCCCAGGTTTTGCAATGCGTGGTTGGCTATCTTTGCTGCGTGCACAGGGTCCTGCCCGGGGGAGAGGCTTCATATACGCATAGTCTGCATCCCCAGCCTGCCAAGGACAAGGCAAAGCTGAAGCGGCAGCCCCAGTAGCCTCAGTCAAGAGTTGCGAAGCACTAGAAGCGGCCGTTTTCATTGAGTGTCTTGAGGCGACAGCCGTCCAAGAAGTTTCAGAAAGCACCGGAGCCTCCTGCTGAGGATCCGAAGGCACACCATGTGCAGGGAGCTGATAGCCCCCGCATCGTCCAAAGATGCTCGGGGGGCCATGCCTTCCCAGCTCAAGCCTGTGCTGCAGGTCTCTGACCCTTTTGCTGACTTGAAGAGCGCCTTTGAGCCAGTGAAGGCCATTGGAACAGTGCGTGAAATCTGAGGAGCTAAGCTGTCTCAGGCTAGCACTCCACGTTTGACCGTGGTCTTCACGCGCATGAATCATTCCCACAGAAACAGTTAGTTGCAACATAGACGCCGGTATCCCATCTTTGAAGTTCTCGGGCCGAAAGCCTCCTTTTCGTCTTGGTGCATCCGATTCCACGGTGTGATGCTTCGCCTTTTTTGCGGGTAGGGTATTTATGGCTAGCTCGGTCACCAAGCTCTGTCACTGCAAACTGTATTTGCTCTAAACCCTATCTGAGTGCTGTCGGAAGGAAAAAGCAAAGTCTTTCAACCGCAAGCAGATCGTCAGCAGGCCGGGAAGAATGCACTGGCATCCTGGCCGGTCTCACATTGGAGTCCACACCTATTCTAGGCCTTCCATAGGATCTGTTTATTCTGCATTGAAGTTCAACTGTGTCATCAACCCTTCACCTCCTCGTTCTCAGAGGACCGGGACGGTGCTCATGAACATGTTGGAGCGGCTTCTGGAGACTACGGACATCGATGCTGTGGATGCCTCTTGAAAGGCAAAAGATAGAGACGTCCAAAAAGCTCTGATCATGCTGGGGCTTGTTCATTTGTCGCAGCTCCTGCTTGTGTCCATCCGAGGTTACGGACAACTCGACGCTTCTTGAGCTCTGTGCATAGTGTGCAGACGTACAGATGTTCTTGTTTGAGCTTCACCAGCAAGGGGACAGACTTTTGAAGCTGCCTTTGCAACGCTCATGTCACTTTACTTGTGCCCAGGTATGCTTGTACGACGGGAAACATGGGCCAGTCACCCAGACATACCCAGATCTCAGACCGCAAGAAAGACTCGGAAAAACACATGTTGCCGCGATAATCTCTCGTAAAACGGATCCGAACAATCTTGTCAAAAATTAGGGCCCCGAGATCTGAGGCCTGGCCAAGCTCTGCTACCGCCGGGGTGCCAAGCTGATGGCCAAGACTCGGCGCGGTGACACCGCGCGAGACTCAGGGCAATGGCCATCATGTGGCCAGATGTTTCCACATATTGCGCGACATTACGGGTCAGGCCTTCAATATCGTGACCAGAGCGAAGCGCTACGACATGATGGAGATCGGCTCTGAGTTGTGCTGAGAGGTTCTGGCACTGTCCGCACCTCCGTGGCGCGTGACTCAGACGAATGATGGCTTTGTTTCGATTTCCATGAGGTTCTTGCACATCTACGGGGTCAAGATAAATTCTGCCGATGCGGAAGGGAGGATTCTGTGTAGTGAATGAACAGACTTGAAAACAGATGGATGCAGATGGATGCAGCTGGATTCGTGTAGATGCGGAGGACAGCCCTGCACGTGGCGGCGCAGCAGAACGATGCCTTGAGCTTGGTGACGAGAGCAGGAGTGGAAGTGTTGTTGTGAAACGTTGTGTGAAACATAGTGACAAACTATGTAAGTGGCAGGCAACCAGAGGAATTGGCCAAGCCAGAGGTTGCAGTTGCTCGTAAGTGGCAGCTTGGCGTGCAGGTCGATGGAATCTGCCGCCTCATTGAGTGGGGCGCAGATGTTGGCGACCGAAAGATTCTTGTGCTTAGGGAGATTGGGAAGCTGAGAAACAAGACATCTCGAACCTTAGAGATTTTTCTGAGCTTTCTGCTAGGTCAACATCACGGACAACAAGAAGCGCACGCCAATACATGTAGCAGCTGCTGGAGGTAACTTCCAGGCACAGCTCGCATGGGTCAGGTATTGAAGTGGGCTTGTAGCCTGAAGCTCGGATTGCTCATGATTGCTCCCCACAGTGCCACAGGCTTGCATGCTTCTGCTGGAGATGGGGGCAGACATGAATGCCAAGGACCAAATGTCATTAGCAACCAGCTGAGTCCCGAGCGTCGATACAGCAAGCAGGGCTTCAGGAGGCGCGCAGTATGCCTGTCAGGACATTCGTGAGTACACTGCCCGGGAGCTCATCTTCTTCATGTGCTACGGTACCATCTGGGATTCCATGCCGCGTTGTCAAAGGATGGCAAAGGATGCATTGGCATCCAGGCTTCTCAGTTTAAATGCATGCAGCAGAAACTAGTCCTGCCAGTAAATTTTTCTCGACTCTTACTTCAACTGCTACCGCTTGAAGAAGAGATACAGTGATGTTCCTTCGGATAGCGTGTGCACGCTTGCGCGCGTGCACGTGCCTGCCGGCACGCGCATACGCAGACCTGAAGACACGGACACACACACACAGACACACTGACACACGGACACACCGGGACACACGGACGCACCAATGCACGGACACTTGGACACACAGACGCACGGACACATGGATTCAGTGACACACTGACACGCTGACAGAATGACACACTGACACAGTGACACACTGACACACTAACACACTGACACACAGACACGCCGACACACTGCCACACTGCCACACTCACTCACTCACTCACCCACCGCCCATCTTAATGCAAAAAGCTTAGGCATGTGGAGTTAACCGGTTTGTGAGTTCGCTGTTTGTTCATCCCGCATTTATGCTTCAAAGAAGCATCGGCTGCAGAGCCAGCGAACTTTTGTGCTTGCAAAGCGAAAGGTGGCGCTTTTGTTGTTTTTTCTCTTTTAGAGCAGTATTGTCTTGTGTATTCGTTTGTTTTGCCAATTCCAATTGCGCCGTTGTCGCTCTGAGGCCCTGGCGCATGCTGAGGCCAACAACCATTTCAGCCTCATGGACCGCTTGGCTCAGAACTTGGCCGTTGATCCACAAAAGTGCAGCAACAGAATCCACTACAGCGGCAGGCATCTTCGGACTTGAGATGTAGTTTAGATTCGGACGGAAGTTTCGAATGAAGGGATGTGGAAGTTGCCCGAAAGAACAGCGTGACAAGGTCCAGCTTGGTGGCAAAGGTCACGGCCTTCACCAAAGAAGTCAGGAGCCCAAGGGGGGTTCTGAGACCTTTTGTCAGGAAGCCGGTTAATTTATGACATAGGATGGGAAATCATCCAACACAACGAAACGCTGTTCGGAGTTAGGACTGTGGTTGAAGTCTTCGCCCATGAATTACAGGTCTCTTTGCTTATTTCAACGCCCGTCTCTTGGAGCAATTGCCACAAGAACGAACAGTCATTGCAGAAGTCGTTTTCGCAGATGGCACCTTGACGTGTAGACATGTTTGGCACACATACAGTCACGTACACATACAATAAATCAGCATCTTTACGCGATGCAAGAAGAAACGCAGTACTCTAACATGTGTCTGACGTACGAGAAATGAGCTCACTTGACTTAGCTCATTAAAGCAGAATTGCTCATGGAACGTTCGTACCGCGAAGGCACAAACGCACGCAAACTAGGATCCCTGCTAACGGACGTGATCAATAATCACCGAAAAGTAGCCAACAAAATCGCTGATGACATGGCCTCGAATGTATACAACTTACGACGGCCATCAAACGGAGTGCATCCAGATGCAAAACCTTCGTGAATCTGAATGATCCCACTCACGTGTGTCGACCGTACGTGAGCAAATTAAAAAGTGTTAGGCAAAGTCAAGCATGAGCACTTCCCTTCGACCTGGAAGAGAAAGAGAGTGCAGCCATTGGGACATATCTTGCACTGAACAAACATCCCCGAATTTTCTTCACCTAATGTGCCCTAACAGTGCGTCCGTGCAGCAGTGTCACTGTTTAGGGCATGTTAGGGCAAGCTGCCCAGCTGCGTCAGGTGTTCCCAATGTTTAAAATGGGTATTGGATTCCATGGTTCCCCGTTGCAAGAAGAACAGTTTAGCTTCACACGTTGGCAGTAGATTGTTGAACCATCTTTGTGATCCACGTTCTCGTCTCACACTGTTTTGGAGCATCTAACTCCAGGATTATGTGCTCAGACCTACGGATTGCACGGGAACAAGAGTTTGTGTGCCTTTGAAAGGTTCGTGGTGAACTGTGGGCTGGGTTTGGGATTTTTCACTGGAAAGTGGGGCCCTGGGGCCCTGGGGCCCTTCCGGCCCTCCTCAACGTTAAGCTCCCGTGAAGCTCCCGTTGCATCACGAGGCCTGGGTCTGACAGCGTGCTGCCCTCAGCGGCTTCAACAAATTTGCGTTTCAATAGTCTAGAGGGCACTCCGTTGTCTTCAAATCTTGTGATATCTTGTGGTGAGTAGAGGAGTAAGAGTTGAGGAACGGCTGCCGCTCCCTTGAGTTCTTAGATGGTCTTTGTATGCTCTCGTCGCTGGTTGCAGTGCCTTCCGGACTTGAGCATCATGGCAATGAGCCATGAGAGACTCCATGGTGGCTGTGAAGGCCAAACATGGACTTAGACCTGGATGGCATCGTTGTCGATATATTTCTCGAAGCATTGGTGAGACCGCAAGGTCCAAGTCTCTTGCCTCTGTTGGCATGGCGGCGGCCGCCGCTACTGACCTGGCGGTGTCTGCAGGACTCCTGAAGAGCGCGGGCCGCAGATTCAAACTGGAAGATTCTGTAAGTAGAGAGCTCCAAAAGAAAGAGAAGAGAGTATGCCGAGCATGTAAGAGCCAAGGGGCCAAAGCCAATATGAGCGTAGTCGAACAGAAATCAGGCCAGGAGTTCGGCGTAGTGGGGATATTGTTGGGAATGCCCCGTGGGGCATGCAGAGCGCGGGGCATGCAGAGCGCGCAGCATGCAGAGCATGGGGGGGGGGGGGGGCAGAGCGGGGGGCAGAGCATGGGGGGCAGCATCAGTGTGCAGCAAACACCTGCGGAAATGTAAAGAAGTTTTTCTAGGCTTGGCTGGCGTATGATATTTTCCTATAGGCAGCCAGTGGCGACCCGCCTGAGAGCCCTATTTGCATCGAGACGAGCTTTTCCAGTTATCTGTCTGGCAGCTCAGGCTCCTCGCTGGGCAGGATCGGCAAGGTGCCAGAGGGTGCCAGAGGGTGTGTCAGTGAGTTTCGACTGCGGTGAGCATGGAAAGCCTGCGGCCAAATTGGGCAAAGCCCTAAAACCAACCGAAGCCCTGGAATCGCCGTGATGCAGGTGGCTGTGAAGGGAATGCCTGGGCCCCTCCTGCCCCAGATCATCAAGTGAGGAATGCCCAACGCGCCTGGGATTGGTCTGATTGGTCCAGCTGGTCTTGACGCAAGTCGAGAGAAAGACACGACAGACACGCCTGCACAACGCTAGTCAAAGCCAGGACCATATCCGATCACTGCTTGTAGCATATTGTAGCCCAAAGCCGTGAAGTTTTCAGCTTGCTAAAATGGCGAGTGTCCGAGGGTCGTTTTTCCTGCAGCTTGCCTTGGAATGTGATTCAGAATCCTTCCACACACTGCTCAGCATTTTTACTTTCCATGTGGCATTTTTCTGGGAACGGATGCCAACTTGAGCACGTTGAGCCGACCGACCCTTCATCCCAAGTTTCACATTGTAGCAGCGAAAGTACCTCCCATGGAAACAACACCTCCATGGAGGTAACGTTGTAGGTCGGCCTTAGATCAGCCTCACGCTTTCTGGAGCGTCTGGACAAATGCTCCTTGACCTCATGCGTAGAGGACGCAGGGAGCCCCGCGATGTGTAGCGCAAAACAGCCCAGCCGTGGCTGCTCATCGCAACTCGCAATCCAGATGACGTGCTGGCTGCTTTAAGACTGGAATTCAAGTCCTGCATGTCTGGACGGGAGGGCTGTGCTCCCCAGTCCGCCGTAGCTAGGACAAGCTATGCAGTGTTGCGATGTTGGAAGGCTCTTCTTTCCCAAGGCTTTCGTAGAGCATAGATTTTCTTCAGGAGCTGGACACTGGAGTCCCCTAGAAGCACAGGATCCCCTTGATGCTTCCACCATCTTCCACCACAGCACGCTGCTCTGGGCGAATTGGACGTGGTTCCTTGCATGCCTAGAGTGCTACCGGGTTTGCCAATGTCGTGCGTTCAGCAAATGCAGTTGCAAAGCCATGGGCCTCCGAGCAAGCCTGGCTATGTTGCTTGTTCCCAGCAGGGTAGTGCTTGAAATTGCTGAAGCCTATGGCAAACCGCCATACCTCACAAGATCCCGGCCCCTCATCCTTCCAGCACAGTATACCTCAAGCAAAGGAAAAATGAGGAGAGCCTGGGAGTTGGTGAATGTATCAATTTGTTGCAACTGATTATTGTTAGCTCCAGTAGCTGAAAGATCGGGGAGTACGAGGAAAGTACTTCCAGAGATTTCGAGGGGGCAGTAATCTTTGAGTCTGATCGTGTTGTAACTACAGGACTCAACGGTTAGAACGGTTCGAACGGTGAGCTACTGGTGTCGGCTCTGCGAAAAGGCTTGACTTCGAGGGTTCAGCCCATGGCGCACCCCTGGAGCCATCGCGGAGCCTTTGCTTCGGCCACCTGCGCCGTGGAAAAGAGAGAGTTGAAACCTTCAGAGTTGAAGGTTCAGGGTTTAGGGCTTGGGGTTTAGGGTTTAGGGTTTAGACCTGACTGGGGGGGGACCTCTGGAGCCGTGACTGCTCGCCCTCCAACTCATGCTCTGAGCATGGGAGGAGATCGCCTCGGCCTTGAAGTCCAGCAGCTACCCTCCAAGCGTTGTGGCGATGTTGAGCTCTGGGCTTAGTGTTTGCTTGGGGAGACATGGCCACAAGTCTTCAGCTCCCTGACGTGGATGTTAGGGTCCGTTCTGTTTGTGGTTTGAGGGGAGTTCGAGTTGCAAGCGTGGCGTCCAAGGCCAGAGCTTAGCTGTGTGCTTGAGTGAGACGAAGGAGGAGAGGCACGACTTCCAGGCACGACGGAGAGCTAGGCGAAAGCAATCACGCTGCTTGCGAGACTTTTTAGTGCTGCAGCGGTCTAAGCCGAGGGGGAAAGTTCAGTCAAGTTTAGTCAAAGTTTCGAGTCACGAAGTTGGCTGAGAGCTTTGCAGATGCGTCAGACAATGCTCGCATGAGACAAACTTTGTGGCATGCGCCTGCTGGCCTGCACGAATCACGCTTGATTCACTTGTCTACATTCTTCCCAGAATGGAAGCCGGGCCATCTCCTGTACTAATCTTTCACTGCTTGCCAGAAAGTGCTGAACCCCAAAAGGTCGTCGTAATTCTCCAAACACATGGTGTTTGGTTTGGGGCTCGTTGCAGTTTTCTGCAATAACAGTCACTCTTCTATGCAAGGGATCGCCGCAAGCAAGATCATCTGGCGCGGGAGGGCCACAAACAACAGTCGGGCTTTGAGCCGGTCGGACGGTTACTCATGGCCGCTCTGCGGCTGCGATCATTTAGGATACTTTCGGCCTGGGACGGAGAGATGACATCGGATTCACATCCCGTTCAGCTAGCTAGACCTTAGTGGTAGTGGGGAGCCTGATCCGGAGATTCCTTCGAAGGAGCGTGCATGAGTTTTCGGGTCGTTGCTCGGTCGGCGTGTGGGCAGCGATGGAAGCGAAGTCGGTGTCGTCCGGCTCAGCTCGCGCGATTCCTGCGTTTCGGATTCTCTGTTCAATCCCATGCTAGAGTCTGCTCAAGCAGTAGATGTAGACAAAAGGTACCGCTCTTGCGCTCGCATTGGCTAGCGTTCGCTTCCTATGAGTCTTCAAGACTGGGGTCGGAGAGGTCATGCAAGTTCTGGTGACAGGCTCGCGTTGTGGCGATGGCTGGGGAGGTTCTCGCCTCTGTGCAGGCGCATCCCAGTTTGCTTTCAGCATAGTGTGAACTTTTTTTTTGCAGCGCTTGCCTTTCCACCAAAACCTTTGGAGCCACAATGCCTGGAGGCCTAGCAATGGAGGGGCGATTTTGTTTGTGTCTTTTTGTGACCCTTGGTTTTCTGGCTTCTATTTTCGCGGAGGAAATTCTTGATTTGCTCCAGGTTTTGAGAGGAAGAACCATCATTCTTTTATTCCCAGTGCGTTGGGGGAAATGGAGGTGTTCGTATAGGAATATATCGCCAGAAACTGAAGTAAACAGGAAATGATGCCGTAATTGAGCTTTTCCTCTGACATGATCTTTTGGAAATGCAAGGAAGACGGCCTAACATCGAAGCACTACACACCCCAAAATATACCCCAAAACCATCCGTTCCCCAAGATCTTCTTATTGGGCAGGCTGGCCTGGAGTCGAAGATCTCAGCTGCCGAGGCAAATTGTTTAAGCCCAGGTGTGCCCTGACCATTGCATTGCATTGCATGCCCGTGTTGCAGTTTCTTTGGCTTTGGAGGAGAAGCTTGCATCCGCAGATTCGGAGAAGACGAAACGGGAGGCAGTCGACACAATCGAGCCTGCATCTTTGATGGAGTTGCTGGGATCAGGATGTCTTCAATGTATTTGCGTTTGAGGAAAAGATTATGTGATGCTACAGCAAGATAAGCATGCCTTGGATCTGGAACACACACTCAGAGATGGGCAGAGTTGCATACATGGTCTCATATGCGTAGACTTGACTGCGCAGGCTGCTGTCGAGGCGCGCAGGGAGAGTCTGATGCAAATTTTGACCTCTGAGCTGCGAGAGGCTGTGACGGGTTACAGTGTTGTGCGACCAGGAGACAAAGAAGGCCGCTGAGGAGAAAGTCACCCTGATGGAGACGGCCAAGAAGGATTGGCCGCCGGCACAGCAAACCAGACATACTTCCAAACAAAGGCACCATGTAAACATAAAGAACGTAGGGAACGCGGAGAATGTAGAGAATGCGGAGAATGTAGGGAGCTTTGAGAATGTAAAAGTTTGTTTCTTGGTTTTGGGCAGGAGGCCGAGGCTGCTGCCGAAGAGCTCAAGGCAGCTGCCGAGGCACGATGATTTCACTGTCGTGTTTTTGCCACAAAGTTTTCTGGGGTTTGGGTTCATTGGGTTCTCCTCTTGGACTTCCACTTCGCGGGCCGGGAGGTCCAACTTTGCATGGGCAGAAGGATGCAGCGTTCGGACTCGAGAGGGACGGCTGGACAGGTGGAGGGGGCGCGAAGGACAGGAGAGCGACAGGTGGAGGGGCATGAAGACGTGCGGGACGGGAGATCTGGAGGAAGAGAGGACGCTGCCTGGTGGTAGGGCCTAGGGGGCATTATGGCTCTTGGGGAGGTGAAACGAGGATCATGGGTACTTTCGTGTGTGTTGCTAGATTGACGAAAGAACTCTTGAATAGAGTTGAGAGTTTGGAGGAGAAGGCCTGCGAGTCGTGACGAGATTTTTGCAAGTGAAGTTGCAAAACATTATTCGCATCGTTCTTTTGGGCTTGTGGTTGACCTTGGTTGCCTGATTCTGTTTGTCATTACGTGAAGAGGGAGCGAAATCAAAAGCTGGTGACAGGGAGAGCAACATAGCAAACATAACGATTGACTATCACGCTTGTGCACAAGCACTGCTTCGCAGGCCCTGAAAGCGGCTGAGCAGGAGCAAAAGGCACCCCAGGGTTTCGGACACGATTGGAGGGTTTGGTGGACTCTACGGACTCTACTGTCTGGCAGCTGTGGCAGCGACTTGGAATCCATTTCCCAAGCCCACACAAGCACCTCCCCAGCGAGCGCACGCCTTTCCACTTGCAGCAGAAGGGAGCTGTTCTCTCATTAGCCAGGCTGGTGACCAGAAGCTCACCCAGGCCGAGTCGAAAATGGAGAAGCTGCAGCGCCATCCTCAAAGGGTCTCTTGTGTGCCGCTGCGGCACTCCGATCTCGACAGGTCTTGTACTTTCTGAAACCTCGGCACTGAGGACGACGGTGACAACAACTTTCGTTCCTTGCAAGGCCCACCAGCAGGGAGCAGGCTCAGGTTCGGAGGTTGCGAGGCATCCCCTCGGCCTAGGAGACTGGTGGCAAAAGCGAGAACACCTCCCCGGCAAAGCCTCCTTGACAGCTCGAATCGATCGTTCTTGTTGAGGATGGGACTGTGGATCCCTCGGCGAAGTCCAAGGCGCAATGGAGAGCTCAGCCAGGGTCGATGATTTCATGAGCTTGGTGACAGCGGAAACTTGCAGGGCATCCAGGAGATCACCAAGCTCGGTCGCGCTGAAGGCTCTGTCATGCTGCAGCTATGCTCTGCTTGCATTGAATGGCTGGCCCTTCCTTTTCGTCATGGGGCTTCCAGACGTTGCAGTCTGCTTTGGGAAGGTTTCGACACGGCTCTGCTGACATCGCTGCCGTCGGCGTTGGACAAGGAGCGAGGCAAACAGGTTCCGGTTGAGTTGGCACGAAGTGCACGCTGGAGCTCAAGCGTTCCCTTCGCAAAGCTTCGAGGAGCCGGCTGCTCGTGGCACCTTCGACCAAGTGGTTGTAAAGCAGGCTGTTGCTGTTGGGCTGGTGATTGCAGGGTTGCATCGTCTGTTGAAGAGCCTGTTGCTCGTAGCAAAGCAGTGCCTGTGAAAGCTTTGTGCGCTGGCAGGTGGAGGATGAGCTTCAGAAGAGGCGTGCACGACTTTCACAGGACCGGAACACAGTATTGCGATTGCCCGCTGCCCGCGAGGCTCGACCAGCTCAGTGAGACACTGGCAGCAGGCTCGCGCTCAGTAGAAAATCCGATTTGTGCCCTCCTCGCCACGTGCCTCTCACGTTCCTCACCTCCGCAAAGCAAAGCCCTTTTACACAAAACATCAAAAACGCAGCCACGCATCCACTACAAATACTTTGCTTTCCGTGTCGCAGATTTCACAGAATGTCGCAGCATGTCGCAGCTCTGGGGCATTGGCGTGATAGCGCGCCGCTGTAGGGGGTTGCGCACGCGCGACCGTAAAGCACTTGCAAGAAAGCGCACCGATGCAACTCCGGCAGCAAGACCTGCCTGACAAATTTGGGTGCTATCCCAATGACGACACCACCAAATGCGCAGCCCGTCCTGGACCTGATGACGAGCCATATCTAGCAATCACTGATCAACACGCGCCCTCTGAGCATCAGATACGTCGCTGTGGGCCAAGTGTCCCAAGTCCACTCGTGCAACTCAAGTGTACTCAGTGTACTCTGCACCAGGCATGCGAAGCCAGCAGGGGACATGCGGTAATCAATACAAGCACGCCATAATAGGGGGGGCTGCTGAGCAAACCTGCCCAAAGAGCGCAACACCCTGCCACACCATAGTATTGCAGGGGTAACCTGATGCAGGCCCAACGTGATTGCAACGCAGAAGATTCAAGGTGGTGCCTGACAAGTCCTGAAGATCCGGAGGGTTTAGCAGATGTGGACACATGGCTCAACGAGACCGCCGTGCAGCTGCACAACAGCTTCTGGCGTGAAATGGGACAAGTGTAATCGAAAGCAATCGCATGCAGTCGAGTGCTTGAGCTGCTTGAGACCACCTGCTGCCGGCAGGTGCACCTGAGCGGGAGGCACGAGCACAAAAGGCCGCCTACACTACCAGTACCTGGCATCTAAGTGTCTGCATTAGCTTGCCCCTGAAATCTTTGTTATCCTTGTTCTCTGTTCGCCAAGTTGTCGCCGCAGGTGACCACTGCGACGGCACAACTGGAGGCAGCGAAGCTCAAGGAGCCAAGCAGATGCCAATTGGTGCGATTTCTTGCTATCTGTCGCTATCTTACCATTCCTGATGACTATATACCCGCCCGGACCAAAAAACACGAATAGGGGAATAGAGATTTTTGCGGTCGGTGTAATGCCAGTTGTCTGGCGCCAGGATTCAGCTGCAAAGGATGCGGCCAAGGCCCGCCTGTGGGTTTCGCTAGTAATTCGTTCAGCATGGAGGGCAACTGCAAGTTGCAGGCCAAAAGTAGGTTTCAAGTACCGAGAGAACGGCAGTGCACCGGCAACATGATGCCTGCGAATGTCTCCAGGCTGCAGTCGACGAGCAGAAGGCAGCAGTGGCGGCTGAGAAGTTGGCCGTGAAGTCGCTGAAGGCCCTGGTGCCAAGAGTCGGCTGGAGGGGTGCGAAGGGTCCGCAGCGACCCGTCGCCCGTGTGCACACCATTCTGCAATCTTCTGCACCATTGCATGCTATGGCATGCAAATGCGTAGCGCATGCGCCCTCCCCAACTACCCAAAGCTTTCCCAGGCCTTCGGCCCCGAGATCAAGGCCACGACTGTCGAGCTGAAAGCCACCAAGGCTCTCAAGTGGGTTGCTTTCTCGCAACAGTTGAGTAGGGGATTCCTGAACCTTTTGCTTCGTGTGTAGGAGAGCCTCGAAGAGTTCAAGACCGGAGCCTCCTGGCTTGCACAGGGACTGCATAATTTGGAGGCTCATGAGGCTCAGTTGGGATCGGGGGCAAAGCTGGATTGGTTGTGCCGTATCACGCCTGGCAAGCGCGACGAAACAAGTGCCGTGCTTCCCCTTACAGTCTTGAAGCGGCGGCTTCGCATCAGCAATGTGGGGTGTAGTTTGGTATCCTGCAAGAAAGCTACATCCGGCGTTTGTGCGGCCAGTTAGTCTGAAAGAGTTGCATCACAAGATCGTCAGCATCGAAGAAACACATTGTTGAGTAATGACAGTCTGACAGTGACATATTCATCTTACGGTACGACGGGTGGAGGTGGCTCTGATTTCTTGTGATTTTCGTGGCTCCGCTGAGGTCCTCCACAGCTTCACAGAGCTGGCCGAGCGGAGCAGTGTGGTTCCCGAGGCCGCGGAGGCCGCGGAGGCCACGGAGGCGGTGGAGGCTTCGGCTTTGGGCCTCACATTGCCTCCGGTTTCGGCCAGGGACTTGCTACTCATGTCTCAACACCCGCCTCTAGGCGCCGGCTGAAGTGCCTGCGGCGGCCTCATAAGGACATGGTTCTGCCAGATGTCACATGGCTATACTACACAAGCCAGCCTTGAATGTACCGTATGAAGTATGTAGCCATTGCCACCATGTGTGATGGAGAAGCTGTGACCTGGATATGAATTAAGTTGCAAAGAATCGCCCAACTTTAGGCAGAAGACAGTCTGAGAGGAAGCCGCAGACCTTGAAGGCAAGCAGTATCATCTCTTGTATGCCAGGATGCTGGGCGGCCATTTCCGCGTGATTTGGGAACATAATGTGCAATGGGCGTCTTCTTCTGACGTCAAATTGCGTGTGGGAACTGCCCTGTGTATCCCCGCATGCGGCAAGCGATTGCGCAGCTGGTCCTCACAGTTGCGCCGGAAGCTCCGAGCTGTTGTAGTAATGTACAAAGCAAGTTCAATATGAAGATGGTCAACAAGTAAGTGCCACCATCAAAGAAGGTTAGCGCATTCATAACCAGGCCGGTATGCAGATCTTGGCCATGCCATATCTTGTCTTGCCTTGCAGGGATTCCAAGCAGACGTGCGTGGACTGCTACATGGTTGGGTCGTACTGTCACATGCTCCCAGCACCCATAAGTATGTGCAACTGTCGTCATGTAGCCATGTCATGCGATCCAGCTATGCTGTTCTGCGTGGGCCGGCCACGGAGAGCATAGCAGGGCATGCGTACATGCCAATTTGTATCTTTGCCCCTGCAAGACCTTGCGGGCATGTGTACCATAGCTTGCGGGCAGAGTCCTGGCGTTTGGCACGGCGAGCACGCCTCAACTGACTGAGGCATGGTAGGCATAGTCGCAGATAGTTAAATGCTACGGCTAATTCCTAGAACCGTCAGCGCCAGAGGCCACCCTGCTTTCGTATGAGGCACCCTTTCACCTTGCAACTTGTCTGAGCGGGAGAAGTTGTGAGGGCAAAAATAAATCGGGTTGGATTCTCTTGGCTGTGTCGTATGCACCTTGTTCACAGTCGACGAGCTCCATGCGCCTTCAGCTACAGAGGTCGTCGCTTACGCGACGACGACGTCGTCGACGACCACGACCACGACGACGACCACCACCACCACCACCACCACCACCACCCCCACCACCACCACCAGACCTCCACGACCTCCACGACCTCCACGACCTCCACGACCTCCACGACCTCCACGACCTCCACGACCTCCACGACCTCCACGACCTCCACGACCTCCACGACCTCCACGACCGCCGAATAAGACCAAACCATCCACAAATGCGAATGAACATGCAGATAAGAACAAATTTCAGAGACAAGCACATCACGAGGCGGCGACGCGGAGAATGCACGACAAAGCGCGGTGCTGGGCTGCATTGGGATTCGCAACCAGAATCAATCGATCGCTTGCTCTTGCTGAGCTGCTTTCCCACAGTGCTCCGCTTGCAGGCTCCGCACGGCCACAGGCCAAGCCGCGGCGCAGCAATTCGCAGCAGGGGCTCTCGTTCACAACGGCTGCAGGAATCCGATCAGACGAGCCGAAACATATGCGTTTCTGCAATGCGACGCTGGCTCGCAAGTGCAGTCGGCGTTGCCGAGCTAAGATGTGCTACGGGTTGCTCGTGTGCGGCACTCCTTGGGCACTGAGTGCTATGCCATGGCTGCGCTGGCAGCCGCTCAGGCCGAAATGCGTCCTGACGAAGTGCGTGAGCTTGACGATGTGCGTCATGACTTCACCACCGAATCGCATCAGCTGTTCGTCCTGTGCCTGTAGTTCTCGCGCACGAAGCGTGCGGCTTCGGGGCGCCAGCGGCCTCCTAGCGAGGACGACGAGCCGACAGCGAGCCGATCGGACGGGTTTAGGGGTTTGGGGCTGTCAGGCAAACCCAAGCCCCCCTTATCCCCCCTTCTCGGGTCTGGGTTTGGGGCTGTATTTCAAGAAAACCCAACCCCCCCCTCTCGGGGTCCAGAGGGGGGGGTTGGGTTTAGGGGTTTGGGGCTCTCAGGCAAACCCAAGTGGGCAGCGTCGAGCGGCCTCGGACCTCTGCGGCTTGCCGCCGAGGCCGGCCCACCGCCACTTGGCGGGCTTGGCGTATTGGATGGATGCCCCCCCAGTCGGCCGCTCTCGCTTCCCGGAAGCTTCCGGGCATAGTTTGACCGCGCTGGAAGCCGGAGGTGGGTGGCACCAGTGCCCCGAATGGAGGGTGGCCCATGACGGCGCGGCATCCCAAGTGAGCCTGCACTATTAATATTATAAATAGGGCGCGCGTCTCTCTTATATTAATATTGCACGGGTCTTTGGGGGAGAGAGCGGTTAACCTTCACCATTGCCGCTCTATTACGCAGAGCGCCGCCAGTTCAACCAATTGAATTAGCTCGGTCGTTGCACGACATCGCAGATTGTGAAGCACACGATGCACAGCGAAGCGTAACAGCAGAGGACCTGGAGTCGGCTGCCGCGCTGGAAGTGCTGCCTGACGATGCCTGACGCGCCGTTGCCGCAGTGTTGTTGTGTAGGAGCCCGGACGGTTACCTAACAGCGGTGGCACAGTCAGCTTTGCTCGAATCGTATGCTAGCGCTCGTGGCGCCGCCGCAGCGCGAGCCATCGCGGACAACGCGCGCCGCGCCCAGCACACGGACCTTTGCCGAGGGGCCCAAGGGCGAGCCCTCGCGCAGCTCGCCGTTGACGCCACCATCGTCAGCCCCGTCACAGGAGCGTAAGTGACAGCAAACGTACCCCGAGCTCGCGCGCGCAGGTCTGAGTGCAGCGGGGACACCGTTGGCCCGGTGCCGGGCCAAGAGGCGGACGAAGCGGGCGGCCTCGGCTCCAAGCGGCCACCAACTTCGACCCCGACGACCACCAAGCGGCAGCGCGCAAGTGGCCTGGGTCGCGGTTTTTTGGCGCCCAGCCCATCCAAACTTGGACCAGCTGCCGTGGCAGCAGCGTTGCGGGAAGCACGGCGAGGAGGCGCTGCGGGGCTGTCGGGCATGCGCGCGGAGCATCTGCGGACATCGTCCCGGCCTTGGCCTTGGCACGCACTCACGGCGCTCCGCAAGCCGGACGGCGGTGTACGCGGCATCGCAACGGGCGACGTGTTCCGCCGCCTCGTTTCCCGAGCTCTCGCCAAGGTTGGGTGACGGTTTTGTTCAGGCGACGTGACGATACCAGTTCGCTTTGCAGGCACGTGCCGGCCCGGACGCGCTCGCAGCCTGTGTGCGGACGGCACTGGAGCTGCGCGATGATACCATGTTGATTTCGCTCGACGGGCGGAGAGCCTACGACCATGTCGCGGGCGTCGTTCCTCACTGCGCTGCAAACGGCCGCGCCGGAGTTGGTCCCGTGCGTGCATCTCTTCTACAGGAGGCCGTCCACTTACTGTTGGTGGGATGCTCGAGGCCATGGACCCAACATCTGTCAAGGAGAAAGGTGTGAACAAGGCGAGCCGCTTGCCCCAGCGCTTCACACACTGGGACCGCGCCCCTCCGACAGCCTGAGACGACTTGTACGTCCTCACCGCACGCGAGCGAGCAAGAGCTGCCCGCGACACAGTAGTCGAGGTGTTTCACACCGAATGTGGCATTGCTTCCAATGACGGGAGGACGCGTGCACACAGCTGCGACGGAGGCCCGCCCCCTCCAGGTATTGCAGCACTTGGGGTGGACGTTTTGCGTAGGGACAAGCCTCTCCCTGAGCGCGGGCTCGGACGGAATGGGAGCTTATGGTCAGTCATTGCAGATTTGATCACCAATACCACCGCGCGGGTTTTTGTCAATGGTTCATTCTCAGAACCTTGGTCCAGCAAGCGGGTCAGGCAAAGCAGTGTTTTGGGTCCACGCTTGTTCAACCTCCTGTTTGACAGTGTTGCGGATGCCGTTCGTGGTGCTTGTCCTGGCGTTGCACTTGGCAGCGGGCCTTATGCACCTTGCTGACAACCCTTCGGACTTGCAAAATGTCCTCACTGCTTGCAGTGACTGCAGTTCTTGTTGTGGGTTCGCGCTCCTCGAACCTGAGGGTGCCCCTGTGCCGTGCTGGATGCACTGGTAAGTTTCATCAGTGCCTGGCGGAGAACCGAGGTTTGTGTTCTGGTTTTGTCGCTAGCTTCTTCCGCTCATACGTGTTGTCTTCTCTTCTGTACGGCTCTCAATTCCATGCTGGATAACAACTGGCGGCAATTTGGACGCCGTGTACTTATGTGGCCTCGGGGTGCTCCTGGAGCCGCTATCCTAGGTGAGTTGGGATGGCGCCCTCTGTCAGTTGAAGTGCGACGGCTCGAATGATGGTCGCACTTTATTGCCCGATGCCTGTGGGGTGTTGCCAGGGGCGCAAGCGGCACAACTGCAATGGACACGGTTCGTAGTGCGTAGTAGTGCGGCTTCTTGTGCAGCGCGATGCGTCGACGCTTTACCGTGCCTTCCCTACGGCCCTTCCTTGAGTATCAGCCCCATCCTGTGTGCATCGCAAGTACATGGTGGGAGGCTTGCACCACATACTGAGTCGATGTGGTTTAGTAGCCCGCACGCCCAGAAGATAACCCAATCGCTGTGTGCGAAAATCCCCATACTTGGGGCTTACCAGGCTATAGTTTTGTAAGCTTCCTTTGGAACACGAAACGCGAGGGCGCGCTAGCAATAAGGTGCGCCTGCGAGGGCACCATCGCTCGTTGCAGGGTCCAGGGTCGTAATGAAGTCAGAATTCCAGGCCGTGTAACCGCCCCCCCGACGGCCCACAGGCTTTATGACACAAAACGGGACGTCGAACGTAACAAAGGGAGGGGACACCGTGACGTAGCCCCATTCAGACGCGCGGCCATGTCGCACTCATAGGTTCGAGTACATGTTGGCCCGCGCGCTAGTATTGCCAGTGAGTGGACATTGGCTTGGTATGGCTTGGTGCCAGAGGGGGCACGAAGTCGTAATATCGCGCTGCTCGAGCAATCAGGAACGGGGTATTCAATGGATAAAGTGGCATAAATATCAAACGCAGGAAATCCTTGTTATCACTACTACCAGATAATGCCTTTTCGAGGGGGCTCTACGGGGGGTAGGCTAAGGCAATACAAATGCCTTACCACCCGGAAAATGCCTTAGCCACCCCCCTAATGCCTTAGCCACCCCCCCCGAACCAAACAAAGATAAGAAGCTTGGATATCAGAGGACAAAGAAAAAGGATAACAGAAACATGCCATGAGACCAAACGATACAATTCTGTATAATACTATATAATCGGTGGTGCAAAGCTTGAGAGAATGCGAGACATCTGATGACATCTGTTGAGAGACTCGCCCCTTTCAGTTGGTTTTGTGTGCGTGTGTGAAATAATTGAGTGCACCATCGCAGTAGTATACAATAGGGTCCGATGCTCGAGGCCGACATATCTCTTGAGACGTCTTCGACCGCCAGGGTTTGCGTGCCCGGAAGTATTGCCTTACAGACCCCTGCGCTCTCGTCCAAGGGTCCGGAAGGCATTCTCTAGTGCCTGGTTGGTACTGATTGGTAATGCTCATCGGGATATTCAGGGATATTTCAGGGATTTTCAGGGTCAGGGTCTGAGGCGGTCCAAGCTCGGCTCCCAAGAGGTATTGCCTTACCGACCCCTGCGCTGTGGTGCAGGGGTCGGGAAGGCAATACTGCTGTGTGGGACATCTCCCTGTCAAAACCAGACACGGCAATCCTTGTAGAAAACTCATGGGTTTTCTTGGGAGGCCTTGCGGAAATTGGAGCCATGAGGCGGATTGAGGCAGCATGTGAGATTCTGAGCTTAGCTTCTTTGTCAACAAAATGCTTTGAGTCGAAAAAAGCACCTTCACAGATAGGAGACTGACTCTCTAGACAGCAGCAGGGCCGATGTCGCTGTTGAAGGGGTCTAGGGCAGAGATGGGCAGAGAGCTTAGATTTATGTTTAAGTTTTGCTCCATGGTCGTGGTGGTTTTCTATGGTTTTCTGCGGTTTGTTGAGTTTTGGGGACCCGGGTCCAGGGCTCTTCAAGGCATTAGAGATACGACCGAGAATGCCTTAACCGGGGGGGGGGGAGGGATCCATGCTTTATTTGTAGTGATTCCTTGTTTGACAGCTGCGCAATATCGGCAGCACAGCTGCGCATATGAAGTCCAAGTTTGACGTTGCATGTGAAAGCGGGAGCAATGTCGTAACCCGTGTAAAAGGCTCCAACTTGGAGTGCCACACAGACACGATGGCTGCACGCCATGAGGATCAGCAGAAGCACGGTGGCGCGCATTTCGCCTCCTCCCGATAGCCTCGCCGGTTGGTGCCATGGCCTTGGCGACCATCGTTGTGGCCGCCCTACGATGGAACCTGCACGCGGCTCGGGAAGCGATCCCAACGGCAATATGCCACGGGCTGCAGCTGCCTTAGTGGCCGCGGAGTGGCAGGCGACTCGGCCTGCGGCGTCAGCAAGGTCAAAGTACCCGATCCAGCTCCGGGCCCTGTTGCTGGTGGGCATGAGGTGGTGTTGGCCACCGCACGGCTGGCGGTCCGCACGGCTGGCGGGGCTCGCTGAGCGCGAACCCGCACGAGGTCACGGAGCAACTGTCACTGTCGCGCGCCAGCATTCCACCGCCCACAGCTCCCCGCAGCATGCTGCGAAGTTGCCATATGCACGCCGCGCTGACGAAACCATCGAAACCATATGAAACCCGCCCTCGCCCCCTTAGCGGACGGCGACTGGCCACACGGTTGGCAAAGCCACGTGTCGCGAACCCGGATCTTTCACTTGAGCCCGCCATGACTTTGGAACCCCAGGCCATGCAGGCGCCGACGTCTCCGCCTCGCACCCTCGCTCCACTCCGACCGCTGCGGGCCCTTTCCAGGATGCGTCGCGCAAGTGGATGCTTTCGGGGACCACCTCCTCGCCCGCCGTGCCAAGATAGTGGAACGGGCCTGGGTGCGGGTGGCTCGGGAAGCCGTTGGGGCAGACGGGCAAGTCGTCCCGCAGCAGCGGCTGGCCCACACCACGGCCCCCACTTGGACCCCTCCGACATAATTACACCGCTTGGACCTGGCAATCTCCCCCGGACGGGCTTGCCGCAGCCCGGCGCCGTTGCGACGGTCGGCGCAGTCCTGCGGGTAGCGTGGCAAGCGCGACGCGTGCCCGGAACTGAGCGCGGAAGGCCGATACTGGTGGTTCTCGGATCCGAGGTGGGTGAACGGTGGAGCCAGGGCGCGCTCCAACTCGTGCGCGACCTGGTCCGATCCGTGCGCAGCGCGCGCCGCCCGCGCTGCGACAAGCAGCCGCTCCGGCGTGGGCGCTCCCACCCCAGGCAGCGTCGCTGAAGCGCCGGGCCCCAGCCGGCTGCCGCTGTGCTGACGGCGCGGCCGCGCCGCCGGCGACTGCGGCTCTTAGCCGCCCGGGACACACCCATCGCAGCGGAGGATAAAGCGTGCATTCCGTAGCTTCTGTGTGTCACATGCAGCGCTGGCTACTCCAAGGTTGCTAAGCCCAGGGCTTCTCTGATGCTTGTCGCCAGAAGCGCGATGCGTTTGTTCTTAGGTCCAATTCTCTCTCTCGCTTCCCAGGCGCATGTCCGCTTAGAAATGCAGGCGAAAGCAGGTGTGGAACGCGGGCGGGCCATGTGCCCAGTCTTCCCGCCGCACCAGACGGTCACCGGATTTGGGTCGGTGACCCGGCCCTCCGATCTCCAAGGCATCCGCGCTCTCGGCACACGCCTAGGTGCAGCTTGGCAAAAAAAAAGAGCTTGTCCAGCTCGCTGCGAAGCATGAGGTCCTGCTTCACCAGCTCCCTTTCCTGCAGGACCTTCAGGTTTCGTGGTTGCTGCTGTCCCGTTGCAGTCCGCCCAGTGCTCAGTACTTGCTCCGGGATGCTCCGGGTTTTGGCGCCCGCTGCCACCGTCACCTTGCGGCTCACCGCGATGCATCGGTCCAACGGCCTCTTCCGATCTTCTACAGCTCCGCCGCCCGCAGGGCGAGGCGCCCCTTCCTCATGGGGGCGAAGGTAGACACGCTGCGCGTCATCGCTGCGCAGGATGGTGTGCTTTATGATAGCCACCCGACACCGCCCCAGGCGTAACCGACCTCCTGTTTTGGCCGCCCCCGTCGGCTGGGGCGCCCAAGTCGCGGTGGACGCGACAATTTTCAGCCCAATGATGGCAGTGCCCGACCGGGAGCCGACGGGGCCGGGAACACCGTATGCCAAACATCGCATCGTGTTAGGTCTAGAGCTGGGGGGACGCGTTAGGCGCAACACACCGACGTTCCTCCGTTTTGTCAGGAGGGTAAGGGCGTGCCAGCGGGCACGTTGGCGCGTCCCGGGGACAGCAGGCGCTAGTACGGCGATGGACACGCCGGCCAAGGATGCACACCGATGGAGTGCGGCGTCCGGTCCGTAGATCGTTCGAGACGGTGGAAGTGGCGGACAAAGGAGCGACAAAAAACATCAACAACACCTTGCCCTCAGGCGACGCCTCCGCCTGCCGCTACCATTGACCGCCCTGCATTGTGGAGGCGACGGAACTCCCGGCTGCCATGGACAGGCCGATGCATTACGTGACCACTTCGTCGCCTGCCCGCATACTGGCTTGCTGCCGCGCCGAGGCTTTGTCCTTGAGCGCGCGTGGGTGCAGGTCGCGCGCGAGGCGGTCGGGGCGGAGGGCCGAGTAGTGCCACAGCAGTGGCTGGCCCGGACCACGGCACCTGGCGTTGCGCCGGCGGACCTTCGCCTCTTGGACTTGGTGGTGTACGGGGCCACGCCGGGCGGTGAGGCACTCTGTTGTGACGCGACGCTTGTCTCGGCCCTGACGCGAGCGGGTCGCCCAGTCCCAGGTGCCGACGTGCGAGACGGGGCCGCGTTGGCGGCCGCGCGCCGCCGCAAGCACGCGCGATATCCCGAGCTCCTGCGGGGAGGTCCGCAACGGCTCGTCGTGCTCGCGGCGGAGGTGGGCGGCAGGTGGGGCGAGGAGTGCCAGCGCTTCGTTCGCCAGCTCCTGCGCCTCCGCGTTCAGAGGGCCCCTGCAGCCCTGCGTGCCGCGGCGGCCCAGGGGTGGGCAAGGCGATGGTGGGGCCTGCTTTCGGTCGCCGTGCAGAGGGCAGTTGCCAGCACGGCCCTGGGTGTCTGGACGATGCCGGCGCTGCCGAGCTCGCCGGACGGGGTCCCCCTCGCTGATGTCTTTGAGCTCGCCGATTTCGTGCGGCCCAGCCGCCTGCCGCTTCGGTGAGACGTGTGTACATAGGGGGGGTGTCCTGGATCACGAGCCGCGAGAGGAGAAAAAACAAAAAAAAACATGGCAAAGGCAAACAGCAGCGAAAACGGGGCCAGAACATTTTAATAGGTATGAGATGGGATATGTGTTCCCTGGTGGCAGCATTCTCGCGTGGCGGCAGGGGGGTGATGTCGTGGTCTTCTGGGAAATCAGAATCGTGCGAGGAGGTGTCATGTCCGGATGCCTTGTGGTTCGCAACGGCGAAGTCGCACGTATTCGCACAAATGGAAGGGATGTTGCACCACGACGAGCAAAGCAGTTTCACATTTAGATTAAGGAACACAAACGCTATCGAACCAACATCATGGTGTTGACATCTTCGGAATTGCCGGCGGCAAACGGAGCTTTGGCGAGATTTCAGCATTTGGCAGATGGTGTGTGTGTGTGTGTGTGTGCACCTTGACGGTTGCATGCTCACCAGTCAGCATGCAAATCCGCAACAAGGTCCAACGGAAAGTGGCGAGCGACCGGTGCCGCTCAGCCAAGATCATTGGCAGCAGGCGCGTGAAAACCTGCATTTGTTGACTGACATGGTTTTGGTGCTTGTGTGTGTGTGTGTGTGACTTCATGGAGTAAATGCCCCATGGGCCAGAGCAAAATACGACCGAACATCTGGTAGGTTGATGAAACCCTCGACGTGTTGGTTGGCGTTCTGCAAGCAGGACAAGCCAAGGCTGGCACCACCAGTTCCTCGAACGAACACAATAATTTCACTAGAAACCAACTCTTGGTGATCAGGCCGAGGTGTTGAGCTCTAGATACAAGTGTCAGAGCTTGCGCACGTGTTCTTTGCCATGATGTTCGGTGAAGAGGAGGCCAACATGTTGGCCGCGGAGCTTCGACACCACTTGCTGTCGTTGCAGCGCAATGCCGCACAGTTGCATTACTCGACTAACGCATTGTGTAACATCCATGTCGTGCCTCAAACAACGGGGCAATTTTAACAACAACAAAGACAGCTCCTCTTACCACCTCCCACCTTCCACCTACCACTTACCACCTACCACGTAATACTACCTACTACCTACGGCCTACTTCCAATACCTACTGCCTACTGCCTTATACTACCGACTGCTCATCCATCCTACTTCCTACTTCCTGCTTCCTGCTTCCTGCTTCCTGCTTCCTGCTTCCTGCTTCTTGCTTCCTGCTTCCTGCTTCCTGCTTCCTGCTTCCTGCTTCCTGCTTCCTGCTTCCTGCTTCCTGCTTCCTGCTTCCTGCTTCCTGCTTCCTGCTTCCTGCTTCCTACTTCCTTGCCCCAATCCCCCAAGCACTCCCCCCCCCCCTCCCCCGTCACCACATCCAGATTTTTGTTTTCTGCCAACTCTTTACCAACCTTTGGCCCAAAAAACGTGAATATAAAGTGTATACATATGTATGTATTATCATTTATATATCAACATACGAGAGAGAGATATATATATATATATACATATATGTATGTATGTATGCATGTATGTATACATGTATGTACACTTGCCTATGTGTATATAAAGAGAGTGCAAAAGGCCATAAAGGAGCACCATAAAATGTCATTGGCCAAACGGGAAAAGGTGTGGAGAGGCCATAAAATGCGAAGCACCCATGATATCCATAGAGTATCTATGCATGTAAGATATCAATGGTTTTAATGGCACTGTGGGATATGGAATCTTGGGTCTATTTTTGGCACTCTGAAGTTAGAATGTCTCAGAAACCTTCGAATATTGACATGTGGAATGCTGGCTCTAAACTCGAAACGTTTCGAACTGGTGGGTTGGGAGGTTCCTTTCTACACGCACAGTTCTAGGGTAAAAAGGACATACAAATTGTAAGCATGCCCATGCTTGTTGTGCCAGCAGGACCAGCTTTGGAAGGCCGGGGGGCGGCACTACGAAGACTGAAAATGTGAGACAGTTTTTTCATGTTTTTTCTTTCGCGCGCTTTGCTTTTGCTTGCGACGCGTGCCAGGGCAAAGTCTCGGATGCCAAGAAGAGCGCGGACAGTTGGCGCCAGGCGCCATCTGCGCAGTTGCTGCTAAGTTCCACCTGGCAGCTGTTTCTGGGAAGCGGATGGCAACTAACAGCGTCGCATCGTGAGGAGCTGCAAGACACCAGGTGCAAGTTGGATGAGGCAGGGTCCCACATGAGTAAGCCCAGGCTGACTGATGTCAAGCAGCATCAAATGCCAATGAAGGAGTGCCCCCTCCGCAGGTCTATCAAGATCTCAAAGATGCAGCAGCGGAGCGGGCCCATACGGAAGTTGAGCTGAAGAGCTTCCAACGGCACGGAGTGGGGAAGAAATTTTGCCAACCAGCATCCCGTCCTTGCACGTGTTCGGCTTATGTTTTGCACCAAGGAGCGTCTCACAGAAAGTGGTTGACATCAAGGACACGGTTTTGTTCATGTTGACTTACTTCGGCAAACGTTAGCGGTTTAATAGGACCGTTGGTCCTCCTTGCGGTGGGAAGCAAATCTCAGCGGCCAGGTGACAGAGACATTCAGCCAGACCGCTTGAAGAGCAATCGCAACTTGCAGGACGAAGAGGCGCACTTGCAGACGCAGCTGCAAAATCTACGCGCGGAGCAGCAGCGTCTTGAGACACAGCGCTTGCTAGAAGAGGAACTGGGGAACATATGGGTGCAGCTGTGCAATCTTCTCGAAAAGTTCCATGGACGGGGTCTGAAGTCGAAGATACGTTGTTTGGTTTGTCCGAGCAGCCATGCAGGGCGCAACACACTTCTGTCAATCGAACCCGCGATGCTGCAGGAGCAGAATCGCAAGCGCGAGGAGGCGCGGTATCAACAGAGACGGCTGTTCGTCAGGATGCACCACGTGTCGGAAACCGCTAGGAAAAAAACCCTGACAAACGGACCTCCTGGCATGAGCTGACATTCGTAGCTTCTAGCAGCAGGCAATGTTGCCCCATCATTGAATCATGCATGAAAGATCGGGGTGCAAGCCAAACAAATTCATCTGACGTGGCCCCCATCCTCCAGGAGATGTGCCAACAAGCAGCGGCAGAGGAGCAGCGACGGCAGGAAGCAGCCCTTCAAGAGGCTGAGAGGCAACGACTCGCGGAGGAGCAGCGACGGCAGGAAGCAGCCCTTCAAGAGGCTGAGAGGCAAAGACTTGCGGAGGAGCAGCGACGGCAGGAAGCAGCCTTTCAAGAGGCTGAGAGGCAAAGACTTGCGGAGGAGCAGCGACGCCAGGAAGCAGCCCTTCAAGAGGCTGAGAGGCAAAGACTTGCGGAGGAGCAGCGACGGCAGGAAGCAGCCCTTCAAGAGGCTGAGAAGCAAAGACTTGTGGAGGAGCAGCGACGGCAGGAAGCAGCCCTTCAAGAGGCTGAGAGGCAAAGACTCGCGGAGGAGCAGCGACGCCAGGAAGCAGCCCTTCAAGAGGCTGAGAGGCAAAGACTTGCGGAGGAGCAGCGACGGCAGGAAGCAGCCCTTCAAGAGGCTGAGAAGCAAAGACTTGTGGAGGAGCAGCGACGGCAGGAAGCAGCCCTTCAAGAGGCTGAGAGGCAAAGACTCGCGGAGGAGCAGCGACGGCAGGAAGCAGCCCTTCAAGAGGCTGAGAGGCAAAGACTTGCGGAGGAGCAACGACGGCAGGAAGCAGCCCTTCAAGAGGCTGAGAAGCAAAGACTTGTGGAGGAGCAGCGACGGCAGGAAGCAGCCCTTCAAGAGGCTGAGAAGCAAAGACTTGTGGAGGAGCAGCGACGGCAGGAAGCAGCCCTTCAAGAGGCTGAGAGGCAAAGACTCGCGGAGGAGCAGCGACGGCAGGAAGCAGCCCTTCAAGAGACTGAGAGGCAAAGACTTGCAGAGCTGCAGCACTGCGAAACAGCAGCAGCAGAAGAAGAAGGACAAAACTTGCGCAAAGAGGAGCTGCAGCAATGTCAGGTGGCTAAGCATTTACGGTCACTAGTATGTGTGGGCTACTGCAGGGTCTCAAAATCAGGCCTGGCTAACTGAGGCTTTGGTCCATCTGGGGGTACGGCTGTGAAGAGCTGTGGATGGACAGAGGAAAAAGGGACAGGAAAGTAGAAGGTACAGTATGTGCTCAAGGATAGGGCCCCCTCTCTCAGGCTGAAAAAGCATGTTCATGCACCTTTGCAAGCCTCCAAACGCAAAACTGCAAATTATTTTACCACTCCGGGGACACTCTGGGGTTGGGCACTCCAGGGAGACTCTGGGGTTGGGCACAGGGAGAGTCTGGGGCTGCGCACTGCTGGCGCTCCACTCTGGGGTTGGGCGGTCCAGGGAGACTCTGGGGCTGGGACTCCAGGGATGAGCGAGGAGTAGACCGGGCGAGGAGAGTTCAGGGCGAGGAGAAGAGTTGAGTTTAAAAACTAACAACCCCACACCGAGGGTGGGGAAAAACATCCTCGCAGCGGCTTTTGCGTTTGGTTGGGGCGGGGGTGTTTGATCGCCAGCCTCACTCCGGAAATGTTTCGCCCACCTTTTCCTGTCATATCCTCTTGTTTCTAGCTCCTATTAGCACCCTGTCTTGGAACCAAACACAAACACGAAGAAGACTGTACCACCATTGATGTTTCTCTCTAGGCTTCGGCTATCTCAGCCTTGGAGACCACCCCTATGTGAAACATGCGTGACCGTTTTCGGTATTCCAACATGTGAGGTGCGGATTTTTCCAGAATGTCAGGCAGTCAGCGCTAGTGATCTTGTGCAACAAGAAACATTTGCCATCCAACATTTGATGGGAGTGGAACTTGCCTAGGTCTCCTCTGTGAATCTATGTGCTTCCAACAGGCTGATAGCAAGTTGTTCATTTTTCGAGAAGATCCTTTAAAGTCTTTGGGTGGCCGTGCCCGGGACTTTCAAAGCTGGGGTGGGCTTGTGAGTTTGGTCGATTGCACAGAGAAGCTCTCCCAAAAACAGATGGTGATGGTGGTGATCGGTGATTTGTCGGTTGTGAACATGACTTGTTTAAAGCTCTTAGGTTTGGGACCAGAATTTCTTCCAACATCGCTGACGATGGTGCTTCCAAACATGTCGAGCGGACGGTTCTTGCAATTTGAATGTTGCGAATGGACAACTCTTTGGGTGACTGACAGTGCTTGCGAGTAGTCGTTTCTTAAGGAGGGGAGGCTTGCTTTTGCAAAAAACATTTTGCCACTATCTCAGGGATGGTGCTTGCGGTTTGTCTTTAGATGGCCGGTGCTGGCGTTTGTCTCAAGGAGTGGGGGGGGGGGGGGGGCAGCGAATTGATTATTGCGCAGATATGTTAGGGGGACGGTGCTGGCAGTGTGTTTTGTTATGCAGGTAGAGGCGGGCCGAGGCCTGTCTGGAGAAAACCTGTTATTACGGTAGGAGCAACCATGGGCAAGTTGTGCTTTCAACGTTAAGAAGGCTTTAGCTGATGTTACTCGAGGTGTCCCATCCATGAAGTTCATGATCAGCTTCAAGCAGGTAATACAAGCAATGAAGCAAGTCAAACGACCTATCAGATGAAACATTGACATAGCACAATAAGCTTTGAAAGGGCTATCTTTCAGAAGCAACATCTATACATTGCACTTTGGTGATGTTTCGGGCCAACTGTGCAGGAGGCTGTCGAGTTGCCGCGGGTGGCCCTCCATGGGTTTGATCGCTCGAACTTTTCCAAGAATGAGGTCGGCTTTGAGAAGCCGCTGGAACACATGGAAGCCGTTTCGCCTCAATGCTCCGACGTCACAGAACTTGATGCGGCAACGGAGCCTTTGCATTCAGACGAGAGCCAGAGCCAAACCGAGGAGCCCGCAAGAGAGCCCGAGATTGGACCGGAGAAGCAGCCGCCACAACCACAGCAGCCGCAGCCGCAGCAGCCGTCCCTTTTGACGTCATGCTCGTCACCCCAGGCGTTTTCCGTGAATGCGCGGGAGCGACAGTGCGGAGAACGGTTCCTTGAACTTGGCAAGCGGCTCGGGCGTGCCAATGAGGATGTCCAGGATGTGTGGCAGAGATGTATGAGCCTGCGAGCGGTAAGGGGTAGCCTCTTGCCTAGCTCTTCATTGTCTGCTTTGCAGGACAAGCAGCCTTTGGGAGAGGCAGGCCTTGCATGGATGTGTAGAAGTCTTGGTTTTGCCATGTTTTGCCATGAAGCCCAAGCTGAACAATGCCAAGGGCTACTCGGCCACACAGGTCTGCTGCTTTCGACAGGAACGAAACTGACGGTTCCACAACCCTTCCTCAAGAGGGCCCTCTTCAGATCTCGCGACTGCAAAGCTGAACCCATGAGAGGCCCCAGCAGCCTGCGCAGCCCGCGCAGCCTGCGCAGCCGGCTCCGCATCGACCTCGCTGAGGGCAGCAGAGGTGCAGCGTGAACACGTTCCACGCGGCACCTTCGTCCACTTTGGATTGCCGAGTTGTGGTTTTCATTTGTGTTCCCCACCTTTGGTGCCCGAGGTTGTTAGATTTTAAGTCAGCTCCTCGCTTCGCCTCCTCGCTCGGTGTCCTGCTGGGCCTCAGGACAGCCCAGCCCCAAAAGGAGCCCGCAGGGAGTTGCCAGGACTTCCTATAAGAAGACCAGGATGTTGACCTAGCGACCGGCACAGTTGGGACACCTTCCGCGTGACAATCGCAAATATGACCGAGACACTTGCCGAGCCGGCGGCGCCCCCCAAATTTCGGATTCTGCACCCGACCGTTATCATGTGACTGTGTGTTCGATTTCTCGGCTTGTTGGCCCGACATTCGGCCCGACATGTGACCATGATCGGCGAGTTTCTTGGCAGGCAGCGCTGCGTGCTGCCGCTGCACAGCGCATGGCCTGCCAGCTGAAGTTTGCGAAGTGACAAACAAGTACTGTAGCACTGCAGGTAGTTGGTGGTATGCGGGTTTCTAGCACAGATGTTGTTCCGCACTGAGCGACGTTTCAGTTGCTCGGGTTGCATTGAGTGATTGGGGGGGGGGGGGCGTAAAACGGCATCCGCCCACTAGTAATGTGGAGTTTGAGATGGGGCTCCGGAGTTGAAGTTTGTTGCCCAACCGTGCCCTTGCCGAGAGCACATACTTCGGCATGGCGGGAGAGGGCGGTGAGCACCTTCATCTAAGGCGAGGTGGCTCTGCATAAGCTTTGTCGTGAAGCTTCCCCACTGTTGCTGAGGCAAGTGCCCAACAACTTATTGGAGCAACTCGGCCATAGACAGCATGCTCTAGTTTCGCCTTTTCATTGTTGTTGTCGGAGATTTGGAGTTGGAGAGAACGCTTGTTAGACCCAAGCGCAGGGAGCCGCATCTGCACAGTCGCTGTTCGCGCCCGGTCCTTGTCGGGGCATCCGGGACACGCTGAGTCTTTGATTCAGCTTCGTGACTCGGGAATGGGCAGAATGGGCCGTGCGTTGAGCATCGCGTTCTTGTAAGACATTCGCTGATGATGAGTCATTGTGTTGTGAACTGCCTGTGCTGACGCGGCATGTGCACACTCTATCCCTCTCGCTCTGTCTCTCTCTCTCTCTCACTGCGTGTCCTTTGCAATCCTCTTATCCAAGCTTTTTTAATACAAGAAGCAAGTTGCAAGACCAGGATGAACATGCTTCATGACACTTTGGGTATATAAGTGCTGGGTTGGCAGACGGATGCAGGCAGCTTTCTTGGCAGCCTCAGGTTTTCAGGAAGCATCCCTCAACCTAAACTGGACTTGCAGACCCTCCCCCAAACACCATCAAGCACCCATAGCCCAAACAGAGATTCCCACCCATCTCTCGGCATTCTCGGCATGACGGGCTGGCCGCTGCGATGTTGGGAGGGCCTTTGCAAGCGGCTCCAGTCGAACAGGGTCGAGGAACCTCTTGCTGGGCAGTTTTCCAGACTTCTGCAGAAGCCCCGTGCCCTTTCTCCTCTCAATATGGTGACTACCGAACCTTCTCGTGATCCCCAGCTTGAGATTTGTCCTCTGACTGACAGTTAGACCGTATCATACCTAGGGCCCTTGTCGCGCCAGGACTTCTACCAGCTCGAGACAGCCTTGGGAAGCGGTGCCTTCTGCCGCTTCGGCTCCATAATGAGTCAAGACGGTCCCAGCCGACCAACGTCGGGAACGTCGGCAAGTTATAAACCGGGCATTTCACGTGTCACATGTGTCACTGTCAACAAAAACACCTGGCCTGCCGTGACAAACAGCTGCTGTTTCTGTGGTGCGGGATTGGTCGTTTGACACGTCGGTGGAGGGGCAAGCTGGCACACAGGCGCAGCGAAAAAAGCAGTTCGGTGTGGAGGTTTGCCGCTGCGCGCAAAGGGTTGCTGGTCAGAACAGGGCGGCGTGCCGAAGAACGTAGCCCCTCCTCGCAAACAACGAGAAATACATGGGTACTCGTAGCTCCCTGAGCAGATTTTGAAAGTCGGTGGCAGAACAAACCTTTTTGTATCTGCATGCAGCCCCTGCGCAAGTGCTGGCCTGCAGATCCTGCAGGTCCCCTACCCTGGCAGTTGCGAGGTCGGGGTGGATCAATTCAATGCGTCCGCTCAACAGCCACAGGCAACCCAGGAAGTCCCATAATAAATGTGAGCAGGAAGCACAAGTCCTCTACCTCCAGTACTGCAGTTGCAAATCCACTGCAACCCTAGGCACTGTCTACCTGGCAAGCTGCAAAAAGACGGGCGACAAAGCGGCCGCCCCTTGGACACAGGAAGCATTCAGAAGTCAGTGGTGGTCAGGCGTGTACTTGGTGCATCCGAGCTGTCGACAAACTGCGTCGTTGTACACTATCTTCAGTGCATATATGTTCCGAAACGGCTCGTTGCATCGGCTGCATGGGGCCTTTTGCCGGGGTCCTTCTGTGACTAAGTCGCTAAGTCGGTGGGTTAGGCTGGATCCATGCCAACCTCCCAGTTACCTCATGCTTTCTTGACCATGGCCAACAAGGTCAAGATTTTTAAGCGAATCAGCGTGAGCCAGGACAATGGGACGCAACCTGACCAGTGATCAGCACCACATTCTCTTTTGACAGGCCATATTTGTTTGTTCAGACCATGGGGTGCTGAGGCGACAGGCATGGTGACATTGTAGTTTTGGGCCTTTCTCTGAGCTGAGCCTTATTCAAGTTCCTTCGCAATGCGATACCTAGGCTTTCCATTAGCAGAACATCAATGTGTCTGCACACTGTTGGCAGTCACTTGTTTCATCGTTTTGCTGGGAATATGTGCTCCGACTTAGAGCCTGCATGTAGGTAAGCCAGATCCTTCTGTCGTTGCTTTCCACTGCGCAGCTCAGGCGAGAGGCCTTTGAGACTGAGCGAAACATGCTCGAGCACCTTTGCAGAGATGGATGTTGTTTTGCACTCCCTGAGACTACCAATGCGCGTACAGACAAAGAACTTGACAACTACATGCTTACGCAGCTGGGCTCATGACTGCAAGTGGATGCAGGCAAATGCGTCAGGCGCCCGTCAGTCACAACAAACTAGTCGGTCTTTGTTTGACGCGCCTTCCAGAATGCCACCCCTGCCCCCTTTGTCAGTGACAACAGTAGCTCCATGGTCTTAGGTGTCACGTATTGTCGTCCACACACACATGAAGCAACTCCGGTTTCCTTGGCAATCTCACCGGACCTTACACAGTATCAAGTTCAACCCTTGCTGCGTTGCATGGCATGTGTTACTGCAAGGACCGTGCGGCACCCAAATGTCATTGAGCCCTGGCTGATGACATCAGGCATGGTGAATGTGAGGGGTGGCACATGGTGGCACCATAGCGTGAGTGCGGCAGGAAAGGGCTTATAGCGCGTCCGGCACTTTAGTGATCTGTGGTGTGATCTTAGCCGGTGCTGTGCAGTGATGATGCGACCCACCTTTTCCCACAGGAGGAAGTGCCACGGGCAGGTAGAAGAACTGAAAAAAAAATTGAAGCTTGTGCAGCAACTGGTGCAGAAGCCTTATATTGAGGAGCTCCTGAATTGGTTCTTGGACGAGAGCGCCTGGCACCTTGTAGTGGAGGCAACTGGGGCATGGCGGGTGCATCGTGATGAAACTAGGCATTTGGGACCATGATGTGTCTTGCCAACGATAGGGACTGAAGGCATCAAGAGAGATCACAGGCTTTTTTCGGGAAGTGTGAAGCATAAACCAGATACATCAGTTGCAGTTGCAATGCAACCTTGATTCCTTGATGCTTGTTGCGAGCCATGGACAGCGGTGGGTATAGGGGATCACGATGGACACCATCCCTCCTGACCAGCCGTTCTGCTTGCAGGTCTGTTCGGGAGGGGAGCTGTTCGACAAGGCGATGTGGGTTCACTTGTCACTCTGGTCCGTACATCGCTGTAAGAAGAATCCTGTTGCCGGGGCACGAGGATTTGCAGGGCTCGCAATGACAAGGAACGAGGTGAGCATGCGAATTCTGCTGGATTCCACGAGTCGGTCAACTGATGTCCAAACCGCAGCCTTCGGTCAAAGAAACGAACATGGCACATGCGTTCTACAAGATCAAGTTGAGGCGTCCCCAAGGAAATGGCAGTCCTCAAAAGCCTCCCACTTCCAGTGAAGCACAGACCGCCCAAGCTGATCACAGTTCTTCGGCTTTCTTTCGGCTTGTTTAAGTCCTCAGGGGCTTCTCCCCCCTGCGTTCCATCACGTGCTTTCGAGAGTGGAAGCTCGCAGGTCGTAGAATCCGGAAGCCTCACGGAAAGGCAGGCGTCGATCTTGATGAAGCAGCCGCTCGGCTTCCGGACTCACAATGTGTTCGCAGGGCCCTTGTGGCTCGAACCACGTTGCTGCATCAGCCCAGGATTTGTGATCCGTTAGCTTTCCTGCCCCTCGGCGAGTTTGCCGGAAGCTTGTTGCAAAGAACCGTTGCGTCGCAAGGCTACTTCCAGTGCCCAAGCAACCAAGGCACCGGCAGCATGTTTGCCACCGAGATCTGAAGCCAGAACACTTCCTCTTCGCCCGCCCAGGGCCCTTGGAGCAAGTGCCATTGCCACCTGGCATTCCTCAGGGGAGTGTAAGGTCAGATGGCTGAAAACATGTTTGATTCAGAGAGGCCGCGATGATTCTCGCGGAAAGGTACGGGCCCAAAGGTACGGGCCCGAGTAGAGAAGGCGGTGCAATTTGGTACCGAGGAAGATCATCGACTTCGGTCTTGCCTGTCGCTTCGAGACTGGCCAGATCTTCCACGACTCGCCAGGTGCTTTGTTCGCGACGGATAGGAATTAATATGCCACGTTTCGAGGCGTTGGATTGTACCCCTTTGGTCATTGCATGGCTACGTGCCCCAGAGGTGTCTCACCTTGCTAATCTCCAACATATGCGAACGGTATCGAAGGGTGACACGCGCCTCTCCCTGCAGGGACAGTGATGTACGTGGCGCCAGACACTTGGATTAACCGTGCAGGCATGGGAGGCCGAGACGTCACGAAAAGACATGGCCAGCATGTGCGATGCGATTCCGAGGAGCTGTTTCCCTTTGAGGCATGATGCTGCAGAAAAGGGCGTCTGCAGCTGTTATGATCTCTTATGGTTGTTTTGGCAGCCCAGGAGATCTTGTCCAAGGGATACCAGGCGCCCTTCTGCGATCTTTGGAGCTACGGGGTCGTGGCGTGACCCGGTGGAACCAAGAGGTGGATGTAAGTGACTGCTAGATGCATTGAACTAGTGGCTACTAGTGCACTGCGTTCTGGCTTGGACCAAAAGCAAGAAAACATGGGCCATGTCACCATGCCCATGTCACCATTCATGTCGTTGCTGTCCACTGTCAGGTATCTCACCATGAGCGGCATCAGCCCCTTTGCAACTTGGCTTTGCCTCACGGGGTATCACATGGCTGCGCTATGCAGTTTAGGCCGGTGTCGAAGCGTAGCCATGCTGGAGCTATGCGGGAAAATGTTGTGAAGCAGTGCCGGGAGATTCCGAAGACACTCGTTTTGTGTATTGTTATCTGACAGGCGATGCTGGCTTCGCTTCTTGTGTTGCAGCTGAGGATGCTGACACCGCTAAGCAGGTGGCGAGGAATGTCAGGAAGGCCAACTATAACTTTGATGCACACACGGCTGCACCATCAACTCGCGTTGATTGCGATCAGAATCCGTGTACATGCTGACAGGGAAGTTTGCCGAACCTTCTTTCGTACTGTATCCAAGGCACCTTGCTGGGGCCACGTCTCTGCCGACGGTAAAGACTTCCTAAGCCAGTTGCTGCAGTTCCCTTGGCTTGTATGTGGCACGCATGTAAAAAGGAATCAGCATTCTTGCTGAAATAGTGTGTCAGGCGCATGGAGTTCTAACATGCTTTAGCATGGTTGGGTTGCTGCGAAGTTGTGTTTTCAAATTTGGGCCACCGGTCATGAATGCCCCCTTGTGAAGTGCAGAACTGCCATCGCTTTGGGGTCCGGATCGTATGGTGATTGACTCGCGATGTGCCTGCTTTTCTCTCACAGGAGGCAAAGGGAGGAGAAAGGAAAGGAAAGGAAAGGAAAGGGAAGGGAAGGGAAGGGAAGGGAAGGGAAGGGAAGGAAAGGGAAGGGAAGGGAAGGGAAGGGAAGGGAAGGGAAGGAAGGGAAAGAGCATCGCAGCTACAAGGACATGCGCGAGATTTTCGAGGCAAGAACGCAAGGAGCGGAGCATCCCAGGATGTGGCACCCAGATTGCCATAGCAAAGCAATACGCAAGCCCAGCTCTCCGAGCAGCTAGCTGCGACGGAGGAACTCTCAAAATTTGGTTCTAGTTTCGCCAATTTGCTACCCTGTCCAAGCCCACAGCGCACGAGACCGCGGGATGCACAAGTTCCTTTGTAGGCTTTTTGCAGTCCTTAGTCTTCGTCCCTGTCATTCTTGTATCTTGCTTTTTGGTGGCATGTGGCCATGAGTTTTGGCAGAAGGGCTGACAGACGCAAACCATCTGTAAGGAAGGATGTCGAGCGGCGGCTCACGGCAGAGTGCGCCCAGAAACATCGCTGGATATCTGAAGCAGCACCGGATGCCACGGTGCCTGGGGATTGTTGCGGAGAGGAGTTTTTTGTTGCCAGAGGGGGGGTGAGGTAGAAAGTGAGGCCTATCCGTAGTTGCGTGACCACATGTTGGAGTGTTGTGCTCCGTGTCGTTTTGTTATGGAATGTTGTGGAGTGGGCCTTCACTATCTTGTATTTTCACATGGTGTTGAGGCCGAGGCGCTGCCCATGATGGACCAGCTGGAGCAGTGGATCAAGGACAGCACCACAGTGCCATACAGTGCCATACAGTGCCCCAAGACTTCCCAAGAGCTTCTGCCGACGACAAGTCCAGGAGAACCGGAGATCCAGAGAGCTATACAAGCTGCACTACTCCTGATCGCAGATCTCGAAGCCGTGCGGAAACTGGAGGTGCAAGCGGCTATTCAGCGAGTGGCCAGTGGCCAGTGTAGATGCCCACTGTATAGGAGCAGGTGGGGTTTGCTGGGGTTTGGCTTCTGTCTTTCCAGGTGTTGGGAGACGAGAGTTCCTCCTGCGTCGCCTTCTGAAGGCTGCAACGCAGCGCAACGCTAATTTTTTTCTCCGAGAGGGAGAGAGAGCATTGTCAAAACAGAAGTGAGGCCTTGGGCTGGAGCTTCTGCAAGCCTCCTCATGAGCCCTCCCTTGCGTGCACTTGCAGGCTCTCGTTGCGCTCAGCAGGGGTAATATCATCACACTGCAGAGCGTGCTGAGCCTCACGTCGCCTGGAAAATCCTCGGGCAGCCGTGCACACGCTCTGAATGCGAAGCGGGGCTTATATTCGGCGCTTGATGAACCAGGATCAGCGCGCAGTGTCGTTGGTCAGAAGTCTTTTGGGTGGCTATGTGGTGAATTGGAGAGGTGCCGTGAATTCTTATGAAGGCAACAAGGAGCCCTCTTCCAGCGGCAGCAATGCTCTCACCTCTTTATGCTTTCAATGTTTTCAGTTCCGCTGCCAGCGTCCAGGCACAACCAGAGGTGTGCGAGGCTAGGGCGGCTAGGGAGGGGTAAACTTGGTAAAGCGATGCAAAGGTTGAAGCTTCAAAGGTTGTGACCACCTGCGCTGCCGGCCAGTTTCAAAGCTAGAGCAACAATCACGAAGTGGTTGCGAGTAGGTTTCACAGCTTGCAGTTCTGGGTTCTGCCATCCGTTGAAGAGCAGGTCCTACTGTTCTCGCTGTTGAAAACATCCTCGAAGCCCTTGAATGGTGGGCGACGTTGTGTGTAAGTAGACGAAGAGTGGTGGCAGCAGCTACGTCACATAGAGAAGCCCGGACCTGCGATGATCCTGTTGACACACATCAGCAGTTTCTTCTCGCCGTTGTAGCCTGGTCTATGCAAGGGGGTTGCGATGAGTGAAGACCGGCGCAGGGACCATTGACAGAGGCCGCCAGCAAGGCAATCGCATATCACTGGGCCTGACTGAGCCTGACCACCAAACGGGATGTTGAGTTTGGCAGATTCACGTGATGGTTAGATCCGAGCGCTTTGGTCTTTTGCTCTCCCTTCAACCTTGCCGCAAGCCAGCGAAACCCGAAAAGATGCTCCATGGAAAACCTGACCGCTGCAAGTGCTGGTTGGCGATTGGAGTTGGTGCACCTGTTGAAAGAAATGACAATTTGACTTCATGACTACGCCGCATGCACTGCAGGCCGGTGCCCCACCCACACCATCGGGAGGACGATGCAGATATGTCGAAACACTGGGCATATCTGGGCATTGCTTCCATCAGCCGTTGTTATTGGAAGATGGGTTCGGAAGGGAAACGGTTGCGGCAGAAAACCTCACAATAGTCAAAGGCACAAGGTGGAACAACTACGAAGGACCTGATGCCTCATTGCACTCATAGTGGTCAGGCTGTCCGAAGTGTTTTGTCACTAGAATGCAAGCCCACAGCCCAAAAACAGGCTGGGTGGCGTGTCGCTGCCTGCTCAGAAGAACGTAAGCTCTTTAGCCTGTAGACACGATGATAGTGAGAACCTTGGAACCTTGCGCTTTGTCTCTAAGTTGCAGCACGACGAGTCTGGCAACACGGCCTCCGCGTATGACCCGCCCAATTTCCGCTGTGAGCGCAGGCATATGCCACTGCTGCGCCGGTATCAGTGACCAAGGCCTTTTCGCATTGTTCGTGATTCGTGCCGCCTGTGGAAAGAGAGTGTCTCTGTATCTCTGTATCTCTGAATCTCCATGTCTCCTGGTCTCCGTGTCTCCACGTCTCTGTGTCTCTAGCCCCACTTTGCATTCAGCAGCGCCAGAACAGAAACCCGTGGTCCAGCGTTCAGGCTCGGGGTCGTATGGGCAGTTGTTTGAAGTCAGCCCTCTTTGCGGTGTGCAGGGCACTGTTATTGCTCGATCGCTGTCTCCAGCATGGGACTCAGCAGAAGGAAGTGCGAGTGCATCGTTTTGTCGCTCTGTTTTCGGCAGGATGTGGCGCAGGCGAGTTCACCACACCATGCTCCCATGCTCCCTCGTATCTGCAGTCTCAGCTTCCCAGTAACCCAGACACATGTGCGCCAAAAGGGATCAGTGGACTGCATTGGTTATGGTGATGAAGTTTTTCAGAACCATAAACAGATGGATGCAGCTGAAGTCCGTGAGGGTCAAGATGCTAGGCGAAATGTGCTTGCAGATATCTAGAGACCCGGTACATAGAACGCGTATGCTCCGTTTGAGCTAACGCCGCACAATACGGCGCCGATGGTTTTGCACGTTTAAGGGCCTGGGGGGAGGGCGACCTTGCCCAAAACATTGGTATTACAGCGTTCTTGCCAAAGATGTTCACGTTTATGAAACCCGAGTAGTCGGTGATTTTGAGCATAGACAAGACACGCCCAGCGAGTGCGACGCACAAAAACCTCAAGTTTTCCACGTTTTCCGGCGTCCAACTCCAAAATGACACGCGCAACACAGGCGGGGCTGCAACGAGTGGCATTGCCCCGCTTGGTGGCAGTTCTCGGGAAAAGGATTATTATCGAGAAGAATAGACCTGTTTACAGCCATCGCCTTCAAAAGCAACCGTCTCAGTTTAGACTTGAGGAGTTCTGCAGAACGGCTTGATTGTTGACAATCACAATCCGCTAAAGCCTTAAAAAGATGAGAAGGTTAAAGTTGGACTCGTCTGTTGTACAAACTCCGATAGGAGAAACAAAAGGAAGACACCATTGAATAGGGCTTTTCGGCTTCCCCGAGCATGGGATCCTTCGATCAAGAGCATGTGTGGAAAAACTCGCTTTGAAAGCCGCTGCTAGATCGTGGGGGGAAACTGAGAAAATTGGGACGAATGCGTTTGTGTGTGTGTGAGGTTCGCCTGGAAGTTTCAACATTTCGTTTTAGATGAACCCACAAACGCCCATAATTTTAGAGCTTGAAATGCAGCACCGCGATAGTAGTGCCCGCCGAGCATGGGGTGAGGTCAGAGCCGCTTCCCCAACCAGGCTCTTTCCGAAGAGTGTCAAGTCGGCAAAGGGCTGGTGCTGTTGCGTACTTGACCGCACCGGCGTGCTTGGTGCGTCCACAGTCCTACTGAAGCGTCTGCCGCAGGTTAGAGAGAGTTGCTGGCATGGCATGAGAAGAGTCGTCGCAACTTCTTGGCTTTAGCACATTTGGAGGCGAGGAGGAGGTAAAGTCTACCCTCCCGTGCGCGTTCCTGTGTGCATGCAAAGCCCCAGATCCTTAACGTACACAATCTCCCTAGTCTGTGACCCTCACGCGCCACATCTTTTGCACTGCAGAACCGCTCCTGTTGCAGAGTTCCTTAGCAAGTAGCGCTACGTCGCCTCCTGCATTTCCATCTGCCGGAAGCTGAGTGCTCGCTGCTTGAGTGGGATGTGTGAGGGAATGCGTGTCAGTTCGCTTAGCTTGGGCAGGATGAGCTTGGGCAGGATGGTTTTTCAAGAGCGGCAGCGCAGAAACGCGCCCCCACAACATTTGACGTATGTCGCCCCAAGCATTGCAGAGCATTCTAGAGAGATGTATATATATATATATACACATGCAGACATGCCAGTGCATGTTGCGTAGTAGGGGCTTGCTGAGCTCCAGATTCAGGATTTCCTTCTGTGGCAGTGGCAAGATCCAGGTCGGCAAGTTGACCATTTTGAAACTGGGCTGCAGAAATTGACCATCGGATCAAGTAAACCAGGGTTATCATCTGGGCCTAGTCGTGGGCTCGGTCCTTCCGATACCTTTCGCCGTACCTTCGGCGTCTGAAAGTCCTCGACTAGCCTTGCAAGCCTCGCCGCTGCACCGAGCACGCGGATGCGCGGGCGCGCGTTGTTTTCTTGCATGTGAACCCACCACCGCATGAGTCACGGGCTTACAGACGCATGTGGAGCCAGCCTCGTCACCTGGCTCGTGGGTTCCCCTTAAAATAGTCTCTGAGATGCTCCAGTGCGATTGGGAAGTCCACGTGACCCGCAGACGAGCAGAGAATTCCACAGAGTGTTTGCTGGCGTGATCCAACCTTACGTTGCAGGATGTTACACCAGCATACATCAGCCGCTCGCGCGGCTAGATTATATGGTATAGTTCAGGACAGCAAGCAACCAAGCTTTAACAGCAGTGCACTTGACCAGATCTGTAGTGCCATGTGTATTTATGTCTGAAACAATGCACATATGCAGGAGGCTCTCAAATACTAATCTCGTGGACGGTGTCTCAGGCAATGGTCACCCTTTTCCGTACAGAAGCTTTGCTGGAATGGTTTGTTGGAATAGTAGGTGCACCAGGCTTTGCTTGGCAGGATGGAGCTGGAGTATTGTCGGAATTCTGATGCAGAGGTGATTGTTGAGAGCTGCGTGTGGAACCAGTTGAACCGCCTGCATGTGTTTTGTCAGTCTGTGCCACGCTTGCTTGCAAGGTGCCGATCAGCAGGGCGTGGGCGCATGGAGCCCTTGTTCGTAGGATCAGGCCTGAATTTTCAGAGATGTGTGTGCGCAAGATTGCGCAAGCTTGGATATCGGCGGTTGCGACTTTGCGGAGTGCAATCCTTGTCTGCGAGCTGTATCGGCGATGGGTTTAATTATGTTTAGTTGTCAACTTAATTTGCCTCCATGCGTCAACACCCGTCCTTCGACTTGTTACTCAGTGAGGTGCAACTTCACGTCGGAATTAGTCGCTAGTCGCTAGTCGCAAGTGACTCTGCGTTGTGCAATAGGTTTTGGTCGGTGGCTTTGCTGTTGAGAATCTCGGCCGCAACTCATGTGAATCGCTGGCGACACTGTCTTGGAGACAACTTGCAGAGCACTTTACTGTATGTCCGGCATGTCGGCGGCGTGTCCGCTGGCCGAGGCCTTGGAGCATTCACTGCGCCTGCTGTTGTGGATGGCAGTGTAGGCAAAGATCAGCAGGGTTTCCTGAGCCGTAGTCGCGCCTCTGTCCATGTACATCACGCATCTGTCCATGGGAGCTGTGGTTGAATCTGGAAGATGCTCCAAAGTGGAGGTACAAACGTAAAGGAAACAGCCGAGTTCCGGCACTCACCGCTGGCTTGTTCTGCAAGTTGACAGGCGCCAGCCAGCAGCGAGTCCGCCCCAGTTCCTTTTCCAAGCACCTAGGCTTTACAGGGAGTTTGCCTGCATTCGTATGCGGCACCAAAGCAACTTCTTGCATGCTGTAAGTTCGGGGGCATATATATATATATATATGTATGTACACACATATTGTGAGTGAACAGGCGTCGTAACAAGAGCCCAGCACCACACAATGAGAGCTGCGAGAATCCTCGTCAGGCATCTTGGTGTAGGATCATCTGTCGCTATGCGCTGCTGAATGGCAAGTTGCCTGGGCAGTCGTAGCAATCCAGACTGGACATCTCATGGTCTTAGTCTTACGTAGTCGTTACTGGTTACGTCTGCAGGTGGTGCTTCACTTCTTTTTCGGTCGGCGCTTCGAGTTGCCGACTTAGTGTTGCCATGTCAGGGTTATTTTTGCATTTCTCCGTTCCAGCACTGTTCCAGCTGTCCGTGCCGGGAAGCGACGAAGCGCTTGCCCAGGTCCCCGACACATTGTGGCCTCCGGGCCTGCGGACCGTGACTTTGAGAAGGACATTCGACATGATGTGAGAAGACACTTGCAAGTGTTCCGGTTTGCAGGTCGGGGGTCGAAAGTTGGTGCCTTCCTTGCTTTTGTTGTTGTGTGAGGCGGCCGAAGTGGGCAATGATGAAGGTGGGCTCCGCATTAAGGGAGGTGGTGCTGTTTCCTTGGTTTGAAGCCGATGCTGGTCGCCAGAGTTCGCCAGAGTTCGCCGGACCCCATCCCATGCAAGCCTTCAATTCCTTGCCAATTCACGCTACGTGGCTCGCCTCGGCCGGGGGACTCCTTTGCAGAAGAAGGGCAAGCGGGGCGCCCGTTCGAGGCGAAAAGGCGGTGAGGTGGTGGGTAGCTGAGAATGCTGCAGTGCCAGTGCTCCTACGGCCCGAGGCCTCGGCAGACTATCAGTTGTTGTGAGTTACCCATTCGGTTGGTATGCGCCGAATCCGAAGCAGCGTGAGAGAAGTTTGGGAGCGTCTCGTACCCCTGCAGACAATGATCTCAGTGGCGGCCCCACAGGGCCTTCCGTGCTGGACTCAGTTTTCAAGCGTTGTGCCGCATGGTAGGTGATGCGGCCGGTGTAGTGTGGTAGCTGTCGAGGAGGTCTTCAGAAATCAGACGACGAATAGAAAGGGAAAGCGGGGCTGCTTTCCATCCTGCTGCTCGTGCTGGAGGTGGTGCTGGTGTTGCTGCTTGTAGAGGTTCCTTGGGTGGGGGTGGGGGGGAGATTAACCCCCTTTACAACCAGAACCCCCACTTTACAACCAGAACCCCCGCTTTACAACCACGAACGCCATGTTTAACATGAGAATCCCTACTTTACAACTCGACAACATGAGAACCCCTAGTTCACAACTGCACAGACAACTCTGTCTTTCTCTGTGCTCTGCTTGCCCATGGGCTCTTGGAGTCTCTGTCTGGCTTTCGTCCTTACCCAAGCAGGTGGTTACCTGCGGCAGCATCAGGCCCCTGTAGCGAGGGGTGCTGCCTGATGCTTGCCAATGAGCCCCTGGAGATTCTTCTCCCTTGTCTGGCGTCTGCTTGGGCTCTTTTTTGTTTTTGCTTTTCTTTCTGCCTGCTTGTCTGTCTTTCCGTTTAGTGCAGTTCAGGGTTTAGTATTGCAGGTTTCGGGTTTAAGGAGCTGTGCGAGGCCTAGCAGGAACCAAGGATATCAGAAGTCCAGAAGTCCGAAGATATACTAGCCTACACGATGCTGCAAGAACATAGTGGTTCGATTTGATACGTACTACGTGACACAGTCTACTTGTATAGTACAGCGTAGTACAGTAGCATAACACGGCCAGCTGCACATGGAGCTTCCGGCACAGCGACGTTCGTGGCTTCAGAATACATCGTGTGGAAACAGACCTACTCGGTCGCCTCTCATCGTCTCAGAAGAAATGCCTGAACCCTCAGGGAATTCAATAAATAACTTGCGTTTACGATATTTTACTTTTTGCTTTATTGTAAACCCCAAAACACAAGAAACCCAAAACTCTTTTTAATATTTCGAAGCACAACCCCAAAAAATCTGCGTCGAAATACCCTGAGAATCCCATACAAGCAACCATTATATGTTATATAGTATTATATTATAGTATATTATATTATATTATTTTTTTTTCATTATATTAATATTATATTATATTATATTAATATTATATTATATTATATTATATTATATTATATTATATTATATTATATTATATTATATTATATTATATTATATTATATTATATTATATTATATACATCAATATATCATGATATCTAAGACGTATTATACAATATTGAGTTATTGGCATAAGAAGGCCCGCATTGCAACCATCACCACTTTCAAAAGTGCATGGGTGCTCTAAAGGGTGATGGTGGGAGTTTCAGGTCTTGACACTTTACGTATAAAGACTTGTCAAGCAGCTTGCCCATTCGGTTGCAAAGTGGGCGTTCCGGAAAGGCTCAAGGGTTGCAAAGTGGGGGTTCTGGTTGTAAAGTAGGGATTCTGGTTGTAAAGCGGGGTGCACGCGGGTGGGGGGGGGGGGGGGGGGGGGGGGGGGGGACCACTGTGTGTAAGGGTCCTCAAAAGCGGCTATGACCCCCCCACCCCCCCCCCAAGATGCATTGCAGCATGTGTACCTAGCTTGGAAGCTGGATCCGACCTTGGTGCCGTTCGTGTGCGCGTGTTGCGCATGTTGCGAATCCTGCATGCGACCTGACACTGTGTTATGGAATACAGAAAACAGAAATCACGATGCTATGAATCATTATGAATCTGATGCTGTCTCCCGAAAGGAAGCAGGCAGAATGAATGGCCCTTCCGCCTTACCCCTGGCCAAGAAGGGCTCCCAAAACCTTCTTCCCAAAGGTGGTCTTTCCCTGACAACTCGTGTAGTTAATCATCATCCCCC